ACTTTTTTCTTACTCAATATATCATGTTTTAGACATTGGAATTCATTCATTAGATCTCAAATGAGAAAATTACTAGACTAAAAGAAGCGGTGATTAGTAAAATATCGCAAACCAGATTTTATTTCTAAATTAATTGTTTTTGTGTGTACTGTGCGTGTTTTAATGCTACTTTTTATCCCATTAATTTTATTACTATTATTCTTATAAATGTGTATCTATGAATGTTTTTGTCACAGAGATAAGTCCCCCCTTCATAAATAAATGTGCTCATTGATTATTAAGAAATTCGAAATTCAATATTCTCTCTAAAATTAAATCCAAATATTTATTTTATCTAGAAAATTGAAGCATATTGATATTTCAGTATCCATGAAAGTTTCATATTTAGTTGATAAAACATACGTAGTACAACAGTATTATTTTCAATGACTTATGTTAACTTTTGCCGTCAAGGGTTGTATGTTTCGATGTCAAAGGTTACAAATCATGCAATTCTCAAAATCTTCATTCAAAATAATGATGATATAGTACGGGTGATGGAATTATGAATATCATCTAAAATAATCAAAGTCTCTAATTTGGAGTCAATCGTATAAAAACTTATATTATATTCTCATATATATATCTCATGTGATAGTCTCGATTACGGTGCTTTGACCATGTACATTGAAGACCAAGTGATGTTATGTTACACGGGTTGAGAGTCCGTGTGGAGAAGATGCAGTTGGGAGGAGAGGAGAGATGAAGAGGTCCCAACCTAGCGTGGATTAGAGAAGTCAGGATTGATGTGCTTCTTGAATTGGATGAGAGCATGACTTTGGAGAGGGTCAAGTGAAGGGTGAGTATTCGTGTTATGGATTAATCTCTTATCATTTTCTTCTCTTTATCTTCTTTATCTTTATTATGTTTTTTCCTGTGAGTCATTTCTCGCCGGAACTGTTCCGTGTGTGTGTGCAACGAGATCTTCACATGAAAAGTGAGAAGTGATCTAAGTCCATGATCACTGAAATGGATGGAATAAATAAAAAATCGCGTTGGGAAATAATAAAACAAAATTTGCGATACTTAATAGCAAAAGTGCATATGCGATATTTAAAGATGCACACATTTACTTCATTAAAATGTTACATATCAATTTTTATAATTCTTATTTCATTTCGAGGCAAGATATACTTTTTTTAGCTAGATGCGCTTTTTTCCATACTCATAGACATTTCTCAATTTTTTTTCAAAAAAGTTCCTATTATTTACACCTTTTCAACTGCATTTTTTCGCTCTAAATTTAATCCGATCCACTTTTTTTTCATTTTAATGTCTAAAATTACTTCTTATTTTTCATATATATAAGGACTACTCTGTATTTCAACCTTCCTATATATATATACACACACACACACACACACACACACATATATATATATATATATAATCTTTTTTATCTTTTTTATCTTATCATTTTTATTTATATCTTCTCTATTTTATCTAATCTTTTATGTTATATTTTTTTATAATACTTTATCTTCTTATCTTTCTCTTCATTTTACTCTAATATCACCTACTGATTCATATTAACGATCATAAAAAACAATCTGGCTAACGCTTGAATGTTATTATTGTATGTATGATTTTGTAATATTAGTATGCATACGGTCTCATTATTACATTTTATTTTTATATCATTATCATTTAGCTTTCTTACAATATGGATACATGTTAACATTAGATACTAATTATATTTTATGGAACACGATGGTTTTATCCATCTTCAAACTCACCCACCGTGCAACGCACGGGTACAATACTAGTATTACTAAAAAAAATAACAAATTTAAATCTAACCGAACTAATCCAGATCAAAAGATAGCATAAATGGTGTTTGGTAATCGTAGTAATACTTTCAAAACTCGTATTGCCTTTTTCCGGCCCATTGCACATGTCCCATGTAATATTTAAATTATAAAAGTTGTATGGTCATGCTTAGGCGTGGGCTCAGGCCGGTTCGGGCCTGTACCGGGTCTAGGCCCGCCCGGGTCGGCGGTTCTGGAATGGGGGGTCTGGAACCGGCCCGGGTAATCTCCGGTTCCGGTTCGGGGCCGGGCCTCGGGCCTTTGTTAATTTTTTTTCCCTTTCCCTAGTTAACCCCCCTCACCCCCAAATCACCCCAAACCACCCCAAATGGCCCAAAATACCCAGCCCAACCCAAAAAGTATAAAAAAAAAAATTGAAAAAAAAAATTAAAAGGCCCCGAACCGGGTCCGAGCCAGCCGGGCCGGTTCATGATTTGGGGGGGCCGAGCCCGGACCGGAACCCACACGGGTCGGGCCTAACCAGACCGGTCACTGACTGGGCCACCGGGCCGGAACAGTGCCGGTTCGGACCGGTTCCGGGTCAGGCCAACCGGCCTGAGTCCACCCCTAGTCATGCTTGTGCACTGAAAGAGAGGTGAACATAATCACAAATAATTACTCCAATAAGAAAGTAGTAAATTTTAAAATAAAAATAGTAACATTAACAAAGTTTAAAGAGATGGAGAAGAATATAACCAAGCATTCCAGCCCAACTGGTTGTGAGGTTACCGTGCCTAGTGTGGGGGTCTTGAGTTCGAAACCTGCTAGGCACATAAAGGTTCGAAACTCAATGGAGTGAGATTCAGCCTCCATTACTTTAGGCCCCCAGCCCCCCTCCCCCAGACCCCCTAGAGTAAAAAAAAATGGAGAAGAATATAAGTAGTACTACGTAATATATATACTCCATATTTGAATAAGATGTGTATAGTTGACATGGACAATTGTACATAATAAAAATTCATTATACTCCGTACTACGTATGATGCAATTATTGTCCATTTGTCCATGTGAAAAGGCTATTTGAAAACTCATGAATCATTCATGATTTGTGCATTCATCCGTATACTTTGGATGAAAGTTAATGTAAAAAAAAAATGGTTTTTTTTGGATGAAAATTAATGTGTGGGAGATATATTATTGTACGTAGTATGTATTATTGTATAGAAGTTCTATACAAGGTTTTTTGAAGGACCCTACAAGTTTTAAATATTTATTTATTTAATCTTTACATCAACAGAAGTGATTTCCATCTATTTCCACCATCTAAGTTCAATAGCGCATCAACAATACCTACCTTTATCATTCTAAATTTCATTTCCCACTTTCATTGATTCATTTCATATTATTTGTCTTGTTTTTATTGACGTAAATAACTTCACTTAAATCTCACTTTTTAATAAATAAAACAACACGTCGATCTCTAATAGATCGATCGATTGCGGCTGAGAGGAGATAGCTACCCTTGCTTCTGGCGTTCTGTCCCTAGGTTTCACGTTAGAGTTCTATTTGTCCGCTATCATCTTTTGGTGAGGAGCGGTGCCGTCTTTCGGCAATTCGTTCGTGGAAAGGGAGATTCGGTTGGAGGCAACTCACAAAGCGATGAAGGAAGAAGATGAAGGGAAGGTGATCTGACCCCCTCCTGAACCGCCGCCGGTGATTCTTGGAAGGCTGGGTGAAGAAATTTATTTTATTGCTTTTAATTATTTTAATGTTCTGAATTTATCTGTGTTTGTTTGTTATTCTATCTCTTTCGATTGTAAGACTGTGGTTTTGGATTTGGATGTGAATGATAACCGTCACTGGCTCAGTTGTGTCTATCAATGGATCAGCGATTTACTTTACCAATGAGATTAACTCCGAATCTGATTCGTGATATGGCGATTTTCTTAAGTATATTGTCGTTTTACCTACTCTCCGAATAGTTTGATATTAATGTAAGGCGTTTCATTCAAAAAAATTAAATAAAACAACACTGAATAAGAACAAGATCTTCACGTTCGAAAACAACACTTACAAATTTCCCTTACATCCGTAATTTTAAATGGGTCGAATACCTTCATAAAAACCATAACCCTTACTTCGTAATTCGTATTTACTTGGGAAGTGGTTTAAAATGCCATTCGATTTTAGATTCATAGTGTAGTAGTTACTAAAAGGTTAACAATATACTAGTACAATTGTAAATTTTGATTTTGTTTTTAATTTCGTCTAGTTTTTCATGGATATCCGCCCGTCGATATCTCTGATTTGAAAAACACTATATAATGATAGCACTATTTTATGGTACTTTTACACTTTTACTCTTCCAAAACATTTTGAGACATATTGAACATTTTTACTCCTATTCATTTTTCTATACAGTACGGAGTATATTTTTAACCCCTCCCCACCTCCTCGCCTTTTTTCAGCTTTTAAACGGATTTACACATTTTTTTAAGGGAAAATGGAAACTAATAATCCAACCTTTTAGCGATCTTCTTTTAATAGTCCCACTTTTTCGTTACATGAATAATCCAACCTTTGCACCTCATCTTCATTCACTGGTCCCTGACCGGTTGATGACATGTTATTCCAAGTTATTTTTCTTATCTTTGCAAAATATTATCTTTGTGAAAGGTGGAATTTATGATATAATAGTTTGCAGAGATGAGAAAATAACTCGGAATAGCATGTCATCAACCGGTCGGGGACCAATGAATAAAGATGAAGTGCAAAGGTTGAATTATTCATGAATAACGAAAAGGTCAGACTATTAAAAGAAGACCGCTAAAAGGTTGAGTTATTAGTTTTCATTTTCCCTTTTTTTAAATGTTCCCAAATCCCAATGGTTGACATTCAAAAAACAAAACTATCTGGGAACCAAAAAACTGCAAGCCTGCATATCAAGTTCGACCGATCCCCATGAACCGCTCCCAAGTCCCAAAGCTGGTCCCATAACCGAGTAACCGACCGGTCCCGGTTCCAACCGGTCCCGGGATCTTATCCATCCCTGAGAGACCTCAAGCCCGTTACAATAAAATGCAAAGTCTTGAGTTGCACACTTGCACCATTCTACTCATTGGGTCGCTAATGACAAACTCATAATAGTAACAAACTAACACTCACACTTCACAATGTATTGTTGAATTGAAATTTCAAAAAACATTATCTTAAACCGTAATGCTTTTAAAAGCTTTGTCATATCAACACCCAAAAGGGGAATTAAATAAAACTATAAAAGATGAAAAGTGATAGTGAATACGAATAAACACGGATAAAACTATGCTTTGTGCGTGTACATAGTTAGCGAAAAGTGACAGATGTTTAACGCTATAAAGGAGTATTTACATACAACTTATGCAGTCAAATTTTTGCACACTAATTAAATTTTACTACATATGTAGTATAAATATATGCTATATATACACATCGGGGGTGGGGTTGATGAGGGGCAGGCTAGCCCCAGCACACATCCCGTTGGATCCGCGGATCCGCCTCTGGTTGTGGAGCCACCAGTGTGCTTGTGAAGCGGAGAATCCAGGCCGTATCGGTTTTTACTTCAGACCTTTGTGTATCTTACTATAAAGGTTTTACCCTTGCTTGTTCCTGTTTAGGCGGTGACAATGGAGGGTCCAGTGGATGTCCTACTAGTAAGAGCCGGTCTCATTGTGACTATTGCAGACTCGTTTGCTCCTGCTCTCAGGGCAGCCCTTCCCGCCTCCAGGAACCTCTCAACAGCATCCTCTACGTACCGGTTGGCTTCACTGACGTTCATGCCCTTCCCGATCTCGGGGTATGTGCCCAGGATGTGGTCCCCACACAGCTGTGATGCCAGCTGGATCAGCTCCATTTGGAATTCAGAGAGCTTGGCATCTTCTTTTGGTCCATTTGGTCTTAATGATATTGTCACATCCGCAAGTGTTTCTGTGATTTTGGTAATAATAAGTTACTTTCATGGACCTTGCTCTTATTTGGCTGGAGGACTTCGGAGGGAAGGCAAGGGAAGTGGAGGACAGGAGGAGTGTTGTGTGTCCGGCTGAGGGGGGAATTAAGTTATGTTTGGAAGTTTGAAGTTAAACTTAGAAAATGGTAGGGAAATGGGAAAATTCTAACAAAACAACTGATTAAAGCTTCTGCAAATTTGACATATACTCCCCCCAGCCGGAGTATTTAAATTTCTCAACCTTTTTAAAATACGGAGTATATAAATAAATAATAAAGGAGTAAGAATTTGAACTTGTTTAAAAAAAACACCCCAGACAATCCCTTCCTTCAAAAATTCCCTTTCTATTTCCTACCATTATCCGAGTTCCAAGAGGCAATGAGGGGGGCTATGGACTCCATAATCATAATTTAGTACGGAGTATATCTCAGGGTTCAGTCAGGTCACCTGCCTCTTTCTGTGTCTCCTAGATCACAAGTAAACATGTGAGAAGCACAGAAGGAAAGAGCTGATCTGATCTCCTACTTCACTCCCCCAAATTTGCGCTATTCTTGAAGATCTTTTTGCCTTCTTAATTTCATTTTCACCATTCATTGCGTAAAACTATTTTAAATCATTCTTGTTATATTACTATATATTTAATCACAAATAAATAATTTTTTTAAAAAAATTCAAAAACAGAAATCCCCTACTCAAATTGAACCAAACATAGCTCCATTTTAACTCTTCCGCTTTCATCCCCTATCTTCTTCTACATTCCTTCTTCCCCCTCTTGAACCAAACAAGAAGTGCTTGCTAAAAAAATGTAAGGGTTGAGTTATTAAAAGACCTGGACAATCATCACGTGGCATGTCACGCAGGCGGAAGTAGGTATCAAAACTACCAGCCCATGCATCTCTTCTGGTCAAGAAGCTTGAATCCAGATTAAAGAGCCTCTTGACTGTTGCTGGTATGGAAGAGTGTTCAAATTGTGAAGATGGCTGTGGACCATTTGGTTTATGAATCACTGCAGGAAATAAATGGTGTATATCAATTATAAATGTAAGCCACAAACAATATAAGAAGACTATGATCACCTTCTGCCCCTTTCTGGACATGAATACTGGAGAATATGAACTTCCCCCACTCCATAGCTAGTAACTATCCATCACTCAATCTAACGCGAGGAAGTAGCACTTCTATAGCACCCCTTCTATGACTGAACTATTCAAAATAAAACCTCACTGTTCTAACACCTTGAGGGTATGTTTGGATCTCTGAAAATGTTGGGGAAAGAAAAAACATGTCAAGTACAAGTTTCATCTTATCTTATGTTTGACAATACCTTGGAAGTGCTAACAAAAAGGAAATATGCCTACTTCATTAAAAACACATGCTTAAACCCAGAGTGTTTATATAATAGAAATAAATAAATGAGTTGAATTTGGATACATATATAAAATAAAGAAATAATGAAAACTATATTCCTATGTACTTTTTATACAGTTACTGTACTTTCAAAGTGACCATGGTGATGTACAATTTGAGAGAGTGACTTCTGTCGTAGTTTTTCAGTGACCATGTATTTTCATGAGGAGTGAGTATTTAGTCATATTTTCCTTTGCAAGTTTTATTTTCGAAATATTATATGAAAACCCCTAAAAAGTTATACGAAGTTCGTAGTATAAAATTCAGGTTCAGCTTGTGTTTTCTCCCAAAAAATCGCTTCTCATTATATTCTATACATTCCTTCCTACTTTCACTCCCTGGTATTTTTCTTGTTCCAAAGGACCATAAGGACTTCACACAGTTGATGCTAGAGACCCAGCACTCTAAATGAATGGATGACTCTAACAGGTCAAATAGCATATACTTCGTACAAAAAAAGCTCAACCTTGGAATTGTGATCGATCAAAACAAGATCAACTCAATTAAATTCAGCACCATAAAGGTGAGAACAAGACCAGCTGCAATAAAATTCTGCACAATAGCATTAAAATAATAACTGGTTTAGCTATTAAAAGCACTAAGCAACACTCACCAGTGCCCTTATCAATCCATGGAGAAACCAAAAGTGTTGGCACCCGCACCCCCAACCTATCAAACTTGAAGTAGTAAGGATCTGGCCCGAGTATCCCATCCGGGTTAGGCACCCCAGAAACAGGGGCGGGGACATGATCATAGAACCCGCCATGCTCGTCATAAGTAATCAACAATGCCATCTCCTTCCACTGTGGACTGCCTCTCAGAGTTTCATAAACCTCCTTCACAAACCTCTGTCCAAGCGCCACATCATGAGATGGATGGTCATCATTAGCTGGAAACTGTTTAACATCAAAGTATCTCTGCTCTATCACGACGTAGTTTGGAAGCTTCCCCAGCTTAGCATGCAATTTGAACTTAAGTGGGTAGCTGTGGAACTTGGAAATGTGTTTGAGCTTTCGGAGGGAGTTGAAGAAGAGGGTGGCAGGGATATTTTGGTAATAAATGCCAAAGCTGAGGCCATTCTCGTCCAACGAATCGAAGATCGTCTTCTGAGGGAATCCATGGATTAGGTCTTTCCGAACATTGCTGGAGGCTCCGTGAGAAGTCGCCGAGTGAACGTAGAATCTGTTCGGCTGAGTCGACGCCGGCACCGACGCGAACCACCGGTCGAAAACGGCGAACTCATTGGCTAAATCGGTGTAGATCGGAACGAGCTCCGGCTTGAATCCACTCATGACTGTCTTCTCCAAACCCTCCACGCCCATACTCAACGCTTGTTGCACGAACCCATTCATCGGCGCCGGATCAGCCAGGGTGTCGTTCGACCCGAATATCTGCTCCCGGATAGCTTGGATCGAGTGGCCCGGGTCGGAATCCACGAAGATGGCGTCGTCGGAAACGAAGACCTTAGCAGACGAGGGGTCGGAGGCGTTGACGTGGTTGAATTCGGTACCGGTCAACCCGTCGATATCCGGTCGGGATGCCCGGAGCCAGCCGAGAACATGATCGAAAGATCGATTCTCCATAACCAGGATGACAATTGTTTTAATGGGTCCATCGATTTGACGCTTCTTCTTCTGGAAAGATGAAGAGGCAGAAAGAGAAGGAGATAACAGAAGATAGAGAAAGAAGAAAACGGCGCGGTGGGTCTTTCGTGGAAGCATTTCATCAACTGTAATCAACCCAGAAAATTCCGCGTCGGATAATTCATCAACTAACTGGAAAGAAGATTCCAATGGTTCTGGAACAGTTAAGGATCGAAAGCCTACGCAGTACATGGCGAACCAGACCGGTACCGTTCCGGTTACCGTTCCTATAAAATGAAAGTATGAAACCGGGTCCTTAATTGAGAAAAAGCTTCTGTTCTTCGTTTTTACGGAGTACTTTTTGCAAGTAGCTTTTTTTAATTACAATTAGCATTTTTATTTTTTTATTTAAAAAAAATTAAGGGGGATTGACCTAAATAAGACTAAATAAATCCTTAATTGTCAAAATAGGACTAAACACTAAAAATTCCGAAAATAGGAGTTATTATTTGTAGTTGGACATAAACACCCTCAAGTTTGGAAAACAAACTGCCGCTGATAGAATCCAAACCGCCATCACTCGTTGGTCACCCCGTCAAACGCCCGCCTCCGGTCGCCGTCAGACGCCCACCGCTGGCCGCCGCCGCCACCTTAGAACTAAACAACTCCACTTCAGATTTGGCCTTTGTTGGTGCAGATCTGGTCTTCTCCATCATAGATCTGACTAGATTTGACTGTCGTCAACCGCCGGCCTTGAATATCCGACTGCCACCGTCGATGTCCGACCGACCCCACTGCAGATTCGGCCAACCCCGCTGCAGATCCGGCCGATCCCGCCGGTAATGCCAACATATTTTCAGAATGCCAAAACGAATTTAGAATGCCATTGTAATGACATTTTTCTTGAGAAATTACAAAATATTGGAAGTGTAAGAATGTCATTTTGATGGCATCTTCTACTAAGCTTTGGCAATTTGAACCACCAAAGAAGAAATAGAGCACATACTTACGATGAAACAAAAGAGGGGAAGAGAGAAACACATAAGAGGCGGATGAGGAAAGAGGGGAAGATACTCCGGCTATAGATCTGGACTTGCTACTCACTCCCTCGTTGATACTCCGGCTCTGCCTGCCTCTGTTGTTCGCTACTGCTCTCCCATGGGGAAGCTCATTGTTGCAGGTTTCACTCGGAGAAGAAGAGATGAGAAAAGAGCAGATCATCTAGTAACCTGAGGTATGAGCAGAAAAGAGTAGTTGATGTGGTAGAATAAATTAGGAATGGAGAGATGTTCATTTGCAGAAAACAGAGCTCATTTAGGGAGAAGATAAGTTGATGTCTGGAGAATGGATGTGGTTGACTGGTTGTGCGTAGAAGATAAGCTGATGGGCAAGGGAGCCAAATCGCACATGTAGAAGAGGGTAAAACAGGAATAATAATCCCATTTAGGGAATAAATTATAGCTACTCCTATTTGAGAATTTCAGGAACAATTTAGTCCTATTTAGAACAATAAACTCAAATTAAAGATAACAAGTTGGAGCAGGACAATTGGTTTCAACTCTATTTTGCTCACTAAAATAAAAGAAATGGTTCTAAATAAGAGTATAAACAATGTGAAATGTAAACAAATAGGTCAGAATACATTTAAAACCTACATAAATATAGTTTAAATAAATATAGCTTAAATAAATATGAGAAGACAAATTAATAACCTACATTATGCTTTTTTTTAAGTAAATAACACTTTTGTAGTTAATATGAGACCACATAAATATAGTTTTTTTTTGCGAGGAAAAAATACATAGTTAACCTACATAACCGTCTATTTTTATGCTCTTAAATAAGTTTGTTAGGGCTAAATGGTCATTTGTTTGATTTATACAAATATATTAAATAAATTTAACTGAGCCTTTTAAAATTGTATATAGACCATCCTTTAAAATTTCAGATGATAATAAATTATTCCCCTTTAGGGGGAAAATATATAGTAATATAGTTTTGAAATTTCACACTATTTTCACTCTCATTTCAAAATATTAATTGTATCTCATTGAACAAGATCGCAATTTGCAACCAAATAACACTAACATTCAAATTTCAAAAGTAAGATAAGACCAAATAGAACTTAAGTATTTGCTTAACAAACGGATCCGTATCATTGAGAGATGAAATGACCAAACACAAACTTATTTGCTTAACAATAGGATCAGACCAAATTGGACTTACACCCCATTTTTTAAAAAACTTTGTTTTTGCACATCAATCTCGTATGAAAAGATAAAATGTCTCTTCATTAACAATTTTGTCAGCCTTCAACATATTCCTAATCGAGGACATTTTTGCCTTTTCATAGGGGGTTACGGTGCAAAAAAAAAATTAAAACGAGGTACAAAGTTCAATTTAGACAATAAAATGGAATATCTTTGCCAACATTTTTAGAATCAGGACATTCATTTCAACTCCTCTCATGCGGTCATTTCAATCAAATTTTACACTCATCAACGGTCATACCTAGGGGTGGATCCGGGTTGGTCTGGTTCCGAGCCGAGACCGCCCAATCCTTCCCCATTTTGCAAGGCCGGGCCCGACCCATATTAATCCAATTCTGTAAGTTTCGGATACCCAAGCGGTCCGGCCAACCCGTTGTAGTTTTTCACCCAGTTTCAAGCTAAAAAGGAAAAAGGGAAAACATTGGCTGGTTCAGAATCGAGACCGCGCAGTTCAGACCCAATTATTGGAACCTGGGACCAAGTACCATTGTTACCCGGTCTAGACCCAGGACAGGAAAACGTATTGGGTCAAGTTCTGCACAGTACCGGTCCGGGCCCGTCGACCCGGTCCATCCCTAATCATACCCGTTTATGGAATCACCAATTTAATATAGTTGGTTAGCCCAATAGATCATCGGTGTCTAGTGTTAGCTCATTGGGTTGGACCACAGACAACTAATACTACCTAAACACTACATTACTTCTAACTATTTTATGTCGGTCAATAACTCAATATTGCTTGCATGAATTTCCAAATAATCTTCAATGATTATCAATATATATTCACGCAAAAGGAATTTGTGTCCTATAATCCTGTAATAATAAATAAAATAAAATAAAAAAGTGGACCAGCAATGAAAAATTGCACACAAACAAACAAACAAACAAACCGACAAATCTGCACACAAATGTTGATCACATTGTTAGCTATGTCGCACGTTGCACGGAAACGTGCAAAACAAATGTTTGAAGAGTTGCTAAAAAGTTTTCGTAGTTTCCCGAAGGGAAACACACACTAATTTCCATGCCTCCTAACTGACAGCTTAACTTGCTGTATACTGAAGCAGATCCTCCATGTGCTTCCATGATTGCTCTGTAGGATTCTCACAAGCTTTCTCAAAAGAGATCGAGAGTCATCTTCAGCTTGTTCTGTCTCCATTTTGGAAGGCCATAAAAGATACTTCTTGTCATTCCAAATTTCTCATGGAACTCCTCGTCCGATAAGTATGCCTATACAAACAACATTTAAAAGTTCTCATACACAATATTTGGAGAGCATTTTTAGACACTGTTTGTTAGTGTGCGAAATGTGTGCAAACTCCTAATGTGAGATGCTTTAAAAGCTTGTAAATAAAAATAGATTTGATATAAAGTACCTGCCGTCTGGTAATGTCTATGCCCGCCACCGGATTTTTCGACCCTATTGTCAGTTGTTCATATGGATATTTTGGCAAGTTTGCATCAGCCTCACTCTGACTGATTTGCGGACTCGTCACCGGATTTTTTGACCCTATTTTCAGTTGTTCATTTAGATATTTTGGCAAGTTTTTATTGGCCTCACTCTGACTGATTTGCGGAGTGGCCTTACCCGTAGACATGGATAAACCTTGAGCCAAATTGGGAAAAAGTGTTAGAGTCTGACATTAAAGATGTAAAGATGTAAAGAGAACATGATGGGTGGATAAACTTTGGGTTTAACTAGCTAATTAATTGATTGAATTCAATCTTTAAGTGAAATGTGTCTCAAGTGCCTTATGGCCCAGTTGAGCCACCGGATATTAATCCCCAACTCATTAAAAAACAATAAATAAATAAATTGTACACATTTGGATCATTAACTAAAAAAACGTAAAACACATACTTACCATTAGTATGATGACGATCTGAAGATCCTACAAAAAGCTTTCTGGTAGCAGAAGTCGGTGGTGGGCTAGAAAAACGGTTAGTGTGTACAGATTTTATTGAAGAGCTGCCAGAAAAAGCCGAAGGAGCAGGGGATGAACTTCTTCTTCTGTACCCATGAGCAGCACCAACAGACCTACTTCTTGAAGTGTTTGGGGTAGCTTCCACTGAATATGCTCTCCATGAACTCCTGGATGGAGCCTGCAAAAAGGTCATATTAACTTAAATTTAAGCTTCAGCCTATCAGGTAGGGTGGTTAGTAAATCACTCACTTCCAGTATTTGATGTTTTCCCTTCAAAATAGCAAGCTTCCGCTCAAATGAGTTGCCAAGCATCTGAAATAATTTAGGTAAGCACTTAGACTTTTAAGTAAATATATAATCAGAAAACAAAAGGCTAATCGACTGAGCATTTGAGAGAGGTATGAGCTTACGTTTGCCTTGGAGAAATCCCATTCGAAATATTGAGTGAAGAATGGCGGTTCACAACCTTCCGTTACAATATAGACAGGAATGTAGGGAGAAAGCTTTCCAATGGGAGTCTCCTTACCATGAAACTTCTGTAAAGTTATATATTAGATGTTAACATGCTTGGAGATCATTAATAACAATTCATTTGTGGCCTACTTAGCAAGGCAGGATATGACCAAATTATTGAGGTTAATAAAATTTCATGATATTTCCTGAAAACTAAATCCCTTCTCAGATTGTGGATACTTTTTATTTTTTGGCCTTCAGAAGACAGAAGGTGATGTGGAGGAAGAGAAGATATAATGCCAACACATAAAAGTTTACCTGGAAAAAATCAATAGCTTCCTGCTTTGACTTGATACTTGAATTGCGCCCTATCCAAAAATGGATTTCACTATGACAATTTAGTACCAAGACATCTTCAGTAGTGAGATCATCCTGGGAGAAATTAAATATCTCTTTGACCTGCAATATTGAGGCCAGACAAAAGCCTGTCTGAGATTGCTTATATAAACTTATTATTTGCAATTTTGGATAATAAAAATTATTATGCTATAAAAACCACAAAGTTTCCCTAGCGGCTCCCATAGGCTGTAATGCTGTATTTTAGTAAAATATATCCATCGACATTTATATATTATGCTTTAAAAACAACAAAATTTCCCTAACGGCTCCCATAGGTTGTATTTTAGTAAAATATATCCATCAACATTTATAATTCCACTAGAGGCATATGACTCCTGTGAACAATAATTTACTCCACGATCTGACAAATCCTTGACTATTTCTACACTTTAAGAGAAAAAAAATAGTTCAAGGTAGTCCTCTAAATAAGTTTCCATGATGCTATATTACAAGGCTTACAAGTTCAATGATGATTTTAATCAAATATGCAATTGATAATATGACACTCTCTGAATCTTAATCATCCTCGCTAAGGAAAAAAGTATAGTTTATAAATGCATATTAATTTTGTGATTTTCGTCACAAATGTAAATGAGAGGATGGCTTAGTCGTTTAGAATATCTTACTGCAATTACCTATTCGGTTACTGGATGCTCAATTATTTAAGACAAATGCATTTCCCCAAATCTTGATTGCACTGGTTTAATTTACGAATAGAGGGAGCATAGTTTAATGATAAACTCAGAATTACTGTAAAAATATATTTGAGAAAACAAAGTACCTTGAAATCGTCTGATTGGAAAAGTTCAACCATTTATTAGACATAGAGCAGATAAGATCTGCAGAAATATGTAAAAGCAGAAAGACATTATCTTTCAACAGGGAATATCCAAAAGCAAAGATATGGCCTCACCTTTAGTAAAGATGCATACAAACAACTGCGGATCCTCCTTAAATGCCTTTATTTCCTTTTCTGAAGAGTACTCTGACATACCTCCCAATGCATTCCAGAAAGCATAAGGTTCACTACCTTCCCTCACCATGACTGGCTGCCATATCGGCTACAATTATCATAAATAAACACAATGCTTATGATGCACATAAAAGAAAATAAAAAGTATTACCTTTTGAGGTTATATCCTAAGAGCTTAAAATGATAGGAGAAGAGGTTAAAGTAGTTCAATGCCTCTTGTATACCTCTTGTATACTTGTTTTTCATTTTATACTTATTCAATGTGAGGTGGTGCTTAACAGAGATCATTAAAATTCCATAAGAAACACATACATTTATCATTTCTAACATTCTGTCAAGAAGATCGTGGTCTCTTGAAGATGAAATATTTCCGACCCAAGTAAATGTAGATGTGTTAGTCTTCAAGATGTAGCAATAGAATGAATTGAGAGAACTTGGAACCTGCAAAAATGGACATTGGCATAGCAATAGAATAAATATTATGGCTTACAAAATGATGAACAGTGTTACGTAATTTTTTAAAGGAGCCCACGTGGTCAAGTTACCAAATGTAGAAATAAAGACATGTGGTCCACGCGGATCCCATTTGAGAACAATATGTTTTTCGCAATTAAAAGACATGCTTACATGATCAACTTGAATGGCTTGCATGTTACATGGACTAGTTCCTTGGATTCGGAACAACGCCACCTTACTCTCACCAAGAGTATTGTCGCCAACACCTTTATCACCAAGGGACTTTTTATATCTTGTACTCTTACCTCCCTGCACCATATGAAGTGATTAAAACCAGGGGAGCTTTCATAGTTGAAGCGGTATAATAATTGGAAGAGCGAGAAAAAGATTTTGCATAACCTAGGACTTTCATTTGTGGATGTTTCCAAGTGCTTACCTTGAAAACAACCAAGCTCTTGAAAATTAACAAAAAGAGATTTGGTTCATTGCCCTCATATATTTGACCCTGAAATAGATAAAAATTCAAAACACGCATAATATACAGAGGAGGAAATATTTAAAGAATTTCTAGATAAAATGTTTCTCCATGTAAGCTTGCAGACTTAGTCCTTCTCTATACAATCTTGTTGAAGATTTTATTAAAAAAAGTTGTTTATAATATGCATTAGGTTAGCCAACTAAAGCTGCAGATAACAAGCAAAAAATAAAAAACCGCTTTTTGTATTTGAAGGGGGGGGGGGGGGGGAGACATACCATAACTGTATTACCCTTTGTGGATTCAGTGAGTTCAATCATATAGGAGATTGCATCAGCCCTGTCGTCCTGCAATGCAAATATTAGCATTAGACCGAAACAGTTCCAAAAGAGCTTTCACAAGGTGAGGATTGTCCAACACTTATTAACGGGTTCATTCGTATCTGGTTGATGTGAGATGCTCTTCAACACATTTTAATCAGAAAGGTTTAGGCAATAGACATGTTTCTCCCAAATATTCAACAGAAGTAATTAGGCATTTTAACCAGCATATATTTTTATTAGAAATTGTTTCTCCTTACCACAACACTTTGAAGACCGATCCAAGTATAGAACAAGTTCTCCTCCCTTTCATTATTATTCATAAAAGTATACTGGATGACATAGCAATCCCCACTGTATAGTTTCGAATGCTCCGTGGAAGGAATAAAAGTTCTATCATCATCACAACTTATCCGCCAAACCTGCAAATCCGAAAACGAGTAAGAACTTGTGCTGAAAGCCTGAAACAAGTGTTAACATTTGAAGACACATGGGGATTTCTTATCACCTTTACTTTGCCACTCAAATCCATGACTTGATCTTCATCTTCTTCTTCGGGAAGCTCCTTCACACTATAACCCTGGTGCTTAAATATTGCTGCAAAAAGCATTTTAAAAAGAAATTAATTATTGCATCCATTTACACATTATTAGTCTGCAATTATATTGTGTCCTTTTCCCCTACCACCGAGAACATACCAGCTACTTTTCCTCGGCCTTCTTCATATAACTTTGGTTCTACAGATTGAGGCCAATCTCTAAAGTATGACATGAACACGGCAGTTTCTGTTCCCTCGGTTAAGAATGTTAAATGGGTCCCAGCTGATCTGCCCTGAGACCGGAGGATATCCTGGAAAAAAACAGTCTCCCGAGTAACAACCCAGACAACATATATATACACTTAGGTTCCATTTGATTGCATGGACTTGCCATGAGAAATGTTTTCTGTTGAAAATCCTGGAGAATAAATAGCTTAATGTACTACGTATAATATAATGTTTGACTGGCCAAAGTTGAACACACAAAACTATTCCAAGAATATGTTTTCGCAAGCCAAGCACAGGAAAATCCGGAAATATTTTTTTTTGGGGGGGGGGGGGGGGGGAATTCCTGGAAACAACTGAAGAGGTTAGTAAAACAAGGTCCTCACGCTGTGTACGGATGTATTGGTAGTGTTTATGATTCAAGAAATTAATTGTAGTATCCCAATTCCCAAGTCATATACTGTTTTTAACTTCAATGCCATATGTTGATTCATGTTAGCCGACCCCAAACTCTTTTGGGATTAAGGCCCGGATGTTATTGTTGTTATCCCAAGGTATAACTATTAATCACCAATCTTCCACATTATATGAATGCATGTGCATCTGTGAGAACCTTGGTAATTTAATTAGGAAATCTTACAGAAATGGTAAAGAATTGATCAAGAAGATGATCAAGAAGCTTTATTGAAGTGAATAGTTGTTTACAGAAGGAATACAGTGCTTAGGGACCATTCGAGATGCCCAATCTCCTAGCCAAACTCAACTGAATACTTGCCTCCTCTCCTCTTTCCCCCTTCCTTACTCTTAAAGTACTTTTATTTCTTTAAGGGCTGGCCTGTTATTCCTGATTTACTAAATGGCCCTGAACCTTCACTTATACACTATATTACACTCTTTAATACTATTTTATTATTCTTATTAGTATTATTGTCTGTGTTCCTATCAGCATCACTTATTGCACTTACACTATTACACACTTATAATATAATATAAAATATATGTGTGAGTATGTATATATGTGTGCAGGTGCTATAATAAATCTTACTTCTGCCGAAGAAATAGAATTCTTCCGCTCCGTAACTGTCGTGAATCTTCCCACCCAAAGAAAAAGTTCACAATCACAGTCAAGCATGTAGCACCTATTAGAATCAAGCATCTCTTTGTTTAGAGTATCACCACTTCCAACCTCAGAAAGCTTTCCTTGTGTGTTTATCCTGCCAATAAGAGAGTTGAATAACTCACCTTCGAAATTGGTTGATAGTATCCATCTATTGTAACCTATTAAAATCGGAGCATTTTTACATGTTTAGCAGTATTGATCATTATTAGGGTCTGCAGTATTCATCATTATAAGGTTCTTTTGAGTTTCCCACATATCTCGGGAAGGCCAAATTTAACAAGGTATCAGACCCTGCTCCTATAGTCATTTGTAAGACATCTATCCACGCGATGGTTTGAGGCAGGCAGTTTAGACTTTAGAGATGGTTGCCTATAGGGTTTGACTAGTATAAATGTGGAGATAACCCTCAAAGTGTTGTTAATCCTTTTGGGGTGAGTTAGGCCCAAATGTGATATAGAATACTTAGTTACTTACCAATAGAGTTTCAGCACTGCATTATCAGCTGCTGCTGCTTCAATGTTAGAGGGCAAGCCCTTAGGAATGGGGGCATAACCACCAAATAAGCTCCAGAATTCACCAACATCAGGATCACTAACAAATTTTCCATCATCTACACAAATAAGCAACTTTAAAGGGGTTATCAAAATGAAAATTACACAATCGAAATGGAAATTACACAAGTGGTGATCAAACACTATTCAGACCTATAGTTGCAATGTCACATCTTCCGTTATGCTTGTTATCTCTAATATATTGAACAACCTCCAAAGCTTTTGCTCTTTCCTGAATGCTCGAGTTACATCCACTGAAAATGTAAATCTTTGATGCCGTATCAAGTATAAATACATCATCATGGTTCAAGGATGATCGTGAAAATGCAACCTAATCACCCAAAAAATACATTAATTCTTATTTTTGAGCAAAAAAAAACCCACTCTTAATTTCAATTCTAAGTCTACGAAATTAATAGTACTGCTTTATTGAAAAGTAAAAATAAACATTAGGCTATGAAACCAAAATTATTGAGATTCAGAGATTGGTTTGTAAAACAGCTCTTACTTCTCTGACATGAACAACACGGTCTCCTTTGCATGTTAACATGCTGATTGTGTATTCCTCACTGCTTTCATTAGCCGGACCAGACGAAAATACACCTTCAATTGGGATAACACAAGGCTTAAAGTATGACAAGAACTTCTCAGTTTCTTCTCCTTGAACTTCTCTATATTGTACAGCATATGACCCGAGTGATGCATCCAGTTCAAGAGCTTTGTCTGAAACCAAGTTTGCATCTTCCTGCCAGTTCATTGAATCATCTACAAAATTGATCTTCAATGGAAGTATATATTACTCTTTAGTTAACTATTTATGGTCCAAACCTGTTTCGCATTACTTCCAAGCCAATAGTGTATATCATGCTGAAATGTTCTACTCTTGAGCAACAATGTCTGCCTCATGAAAAAACAAGTATCAGATACCCCTAAGAATGTGCCATTTGTGTTTTCAAATATTTCATTGCTATCTGTCTCTAACTAAGAGTCCATCTGGATTCTGGAAAGTATTAGAAAAAGAAATCAGAGAGGATTAGAGGAACAAAGTTGAAAAATTATTTTAAATTTATTTTAAATATTATGGAGTATTTCAAACTCATTTTATTCATCTATTGCTACTATAAATACTGCTCCCTCTGTCGCACTCATCATTGACAATTACAATTTACGAACATTGACCGATGATAATGTTAATTACTCCCAGACAATATTTAAATTACTATTGATATTTAATATTTATTATTTAAGAAATTTCCCTCAATAGGAGTAAAACAGTGCGGAATTCCAAAATAGGACTAAAGGAGCACTGTGTTTTATTTCTTATGCGAGTAATTAATGTCATGCTTAGAAAGTACTGCCATTTACGAAAGAAATAATGCCATATTAAAGCCCGTTAAATTACAGAATGGCAGTAAGGTATAAGTTACTCGTATTTGGGGATAGTGCTCCCGTTTTAAAATTTAGATGATGAATTTGATAAAAAAAACTGATACCCAAAATTAGAAAACAAAATCATAATATATTGAGTATTGACTACACAAATACTAAACTAGAAAATTTGAGTGGGACAGGGGTATTTCATTAATAGCTCTAAGTACATGAATAAATAAAAACCATAAAACTATAACAATTTTCCATAATATTTTTTCTCTATATCCAAATACACCCAGAGACTAACTTTGGGTCCTGTAAAATGCTATGGAAATTTAATTTTCCAGGAAAATGCCAGTGAAAGGAAAGCTAATGCTTTGGAAGGTTTGTTTCTTAAGTTCATTTTTTTCTCATAAATTTGAAAAGAATAAAGTATGGTTATGCTTTAAATTGTAAACATTAGTCTAGATCGTTTAATAGTGATACAATATGATTAAAAAATATTCATACAAATATCAAGTATAAAATTATTGAGTATAATTTAATTTATTATTGTCCTCAACATTGTTTTCCACTCAAATTTCTCCTACAATATTTTCCACATTTTCTTTCCATAGGATTTTCTGCATCCCTAACGGATCCTAAGAGTTTCATCAAATCTTCAGCTGAAGCTTGGGTGTTCAAAACTTACATGTAAAAGTAGATAAGCACTTCCGGAGTAGAACTTCCCGTGCAAGGATATAGGGATCCGGACTAATTGGAGATTCTCTACTCCCCAAATATCCAAACCACTAGATTTGTTAAATAGTAAAGGATAAATTATTGAACATTAATGCAATTAAGCTAAACAGATTAAATAAACAGCATTCAAAGTTTCAAAATTCAAAATGAACAGATTAAATTAACAGCATCTAAACTGAACAGGTCAAATAAACATCACTCAAGCTAAAAAGAACAAATGAACAGCATTCAAGCTAAACAGATTTCTACTAATATAGAAAACAAAATAGTAAATGAAGTTATGAGGATACGGTCTGACTCCTGCTCCCTGAAACGCTGGATCCATTTCAAGCAGCTGATTCTTAGTAACCCATTACTCAAGTTGCTTTCTATGATCCTGCAGATTAAGAATTCAGCATTTTAAGAGCATGGCGAAGGAAATGGTTACAACCCACATTACACCAACAACCCCCTTTATTTTGGCACTTTGAGGTCAAACATTTGATTGTACAATGCCACAAGCTTTAGCCGGAGATATCGATTCAGAAATACAGATAAAGGCTACTACAGTTCAGCTATATAACATCACAAAGTTTCAAACTTTAGCTGCCATCCAGATTCTTTTATGCAGATTCTACACCAGCAAAACTGAGTAATGATACTATTTCTGCTGAGTAATTCTTACCATACTTTGATAGAGACTAAAATTGAAGATATTGGGGAAAGAAAGAATGAGATGACTGTGTGAAGAACTGGAGAAAGAAAGGAACAACGTGGAGAGCACGATTACCAGCTGGCTTTTGACAAATGAAAGCAATAAGCTTTTGACAAATGAAAGCAAGAAGCCGTTTTCAATTCAAAAAAGGAAAGGGTCAAAAGACCAAAATAATGTTATAAATGTCACCTCCTTATTCCTCGTATTGTGTCATCCCATAAGCATTTGGGTCTTCCGTCTAGCTGCTAAATTGTGTAGGAGAAATCCGGAAAGACTTCGTATATAAATTATGAAGCCGAGCTTGTTCGTTCGTTCCATAGAAGCAATTATCTAAATGATTAAGGGAGTGTTTGTGGTTGCTTCGACTTTAAAAAGTGAATTTTTAAAGTAAATTTGGATAAAATGATTAATAGTAAAAGTTAGTAATGTTTGAAAAAAAAGTGTTTCAGAAAAAGTAAAAGTTAGTAGTGTTTAGTAAAGTAAGTGCTTTTTGTGTAATAGAAAAAGTGAAAAACAGTTTAAAGCACCCCTCAATATGCTTCCAGATTTAGCTTTTAAGTGATTAATTTAAACAGAAGCTGTCATTCGAAAACACCATTTTTAACATTTTTTAAGCCAGAAGGTGAAAAACACTTTTTTTAATTTTCTGCAAACACTCGCTAAAAGGTGTGAGAAGGTTTAGTGTAACCTCTTGATGTTTAGATTAGCTAATTAACTCAAATTTGTTGGTCCGGTCTTGTTTGTTTAGGTCTGGTCTAATCTTGTCTGAACTGGTCTGGTCTAGTAAATATTTGATCTTTGTGTATTTTTTTAACTATAGAAGTTTAGTCAGGTCTGAATAAGTCTCATCTGGTCCGATCTGTTTAAAACTGATTTAGTCTGAGACTGAAAACAATCCTAATAAAAACATACATGTTCATTTTAAATAAATAAAAATACATGGAGTATATTTAGAAAACAAAAATAAATTAATAAATATGTTGAGTTTGGGAAATGAAAATTTATTTTTATTTTGTATTCAACGATTTCTTATTATTTTTATATCAAAATTCGATATTGTTACCATAAAAGTTTTATAAAGATAGAGCCAAACGGATGTAGCGGGTCATTTATATATGACCAAGCTATGTTGTTAAATGACTGATCATTTAATATTGGGATAAGGCTCAAAAATGACACTAAGGATAGTTACTAAGTTCGGATTAGACATTAAGCTTTTAACTAGACCAAATTAACACAAGTTATACGTTTTTGTGTCATATTAGGACACTCATCACCTCAATGGTAAATTAACGGTTGTTCCCGTCAATTATCAAGTTACTGCCATCTTTGTCCAAAACCTAAATTAACAACTCTCATTTCTTCTCCCGTAGAACACCAGACTTCATCAGACCCTATAGCAGCCAATTTCTTCTGAAAACCCAAACCCCACACATATACCTTCTTCCTCTAGGCCCAAAACCCTGTTTTAAGTATGGTAGGCCTTCCATAAAAAAAGTCTGGCAGACCTACAACTTCCACTCCCAATTGGAAAAAGCAATGCAAACAGTGGCGGAGAAGCAATTGACTGCCCAAATTACCTCTCGTTTTTGAATTAATTCCACCTGGTTGGCCTAAATTGGGAAGTTCATCCTTTTTCTGGTATTTTTTCTCCGTTTAATGTTTTGAAACAACAACATACGTGAACTGATGGGTCAAGACTCAAGCTATGATTTTCATTTATTTTAGTGGAAAATAATATGTTTGGACTGAATATAATCTAGCTTAATAGAAGATGAAATGCCACACACTTTCTTTCTCGGGCTCCGCTAGAAGATTAATCCACGATCAGCAACAGTGGGCGGAGAAGGTGCGAGAGGGTGGAAGGAAAAGGTGAGGCTGGGACCACTTAAGAGGGCTTAACGTGGACGAAGTTGAGATGCAATTGAAGAATGAAGATGGAGGATAGCAAAGGTTTGGGGACGGCCAAATGAGTAGAAGAGATGATTTGTTTGGCGGCGAAGAAGTGAATTAGAAGGATAAGAAAAGAAAGAGCTGGAGTACGGGATGGAGAGTATCTAGCCGGTGAAGAATTAACAATGGAGCGTGGACGGTTAACCATGGGTTTTAACGGAGTTTTAAGTGGGTGGCCAAATATAGTCGAAATAAGTGGATTATGTGTTAATTTGGTCTACTTAAAAGCTTAATGTCTAATTCGAACTTTGTAAATAACCTTAATGTCATTTTTGAACCTTCTCCCTTTAATATTTATTGACTTGACTACTTCAGAGTATACGAGGTTATATATAGATAATGGAGTCCCGTTCTTGTCCAGCCGGCCTGACGGGATGCTCCGTCCGGTCGATGGCATTTCGGGCACTTCCCGGTGGAATTTTTTGATGAAATTGTTTGAGCATGTTCTTCATGAAGTATAGTTTATCTATACCAAATTTCAGCTAAAAATTCAATCGGGAAGGCACTCAAATAAATTCTTGAAGTTAACTGGGCAGTTTATATGTATGAACTGCCCAGTTAACTTCAAGAAATTATTTGAGTGCCTTCCCGATTGAATTTTTAGCTGAAATTTGGTATGGATAAACTAGACTTCATGAAGAACATGCTAAAAAATATTCATCAAAAAAATTCACCGGGGAATGCCCGAAATTCCCTCGTCCGGACGGCGGTTCCCGTCAGGCCGGCTGGACATGAAGTTTTCTCTAGATAATGTGATGAATTTTCGAGTATATAATGTAGTAAGGGCTTTTCTGAGAACCCCTATGAAAGAAGAAAAGATAAAGATAAGATGATCATGAGAACCCTGTGAAAGAAGAAAAGATGAAGATAAATTAGAGGATAACATAAATTATAAAGAGAAGCGATACAAGGGCATTGAATGATGGTGTGCTCGTTAACATCTTGCATTTAGGATTTATTATAATAAAGTATAAGATTAATCTCGATAAAATATAGTAATATTGCCCACTCCTAATCCAAGGAATTAGACAAGTGCATGAAATCCGGATACAGTGCATGAATCAGCAAGTGATCTCAACCGGATTAGTTATATATTTGTTGTAAACTTGATTATAATTTTGTTATAGTAATATGATTAGTTGAGGGGTGAGCATGGCATAGTAAATGCATGAAAGAGTTGTGTTGGTTGTTCTAGCCATACTAACTATATATCAATTTTATTTTGGGAGAAGGCTCAAAAAAGACACTAAGATTACTTACAAAGTTCGGATTGAACATTTAGATTTTAAGTGGACCAAATTAATACATAACTCACTTATTTTGATAACATTTGGCAACCCATTCACATTTCAATTTAACGGTGCTCTCACGTTAACACCTCCTTTTTAATCTAAGGTGCCTACTCACACCTCAATATTTCCATCTAAACCCTATCTTTTCCTCTGGTTTCGATCGTTCAATGCTTTTTTGAAACTTCTCCACCATCCAAGCTTCTTTTCCAGTCCATTCATCCTAGACGCGTGAGCATAGATTATTAATACATCCAAGAAAGCAAAAACATAGAAGATGAACAAGTGGAGAAATTACATTAAAGAACTCCGACCAATTTCTTGATTTTTTGGTTGTGCTTATTCTTATGGCCGCGATTTTACTCAATCTTTACTTCATCGGTGGTCGGAATACTGTTTATGAGTCTATTGAAATTCAGGGTAAGCGGGATAAGCAAACTTTGAGTCCACCAAGGAAGACTCGTCCGTTCAAGATGACGGAAATCTCTCTTCCGGGGTGTCACATACAAAGGGACTCTGTTGCGTGGGAGCAGCCTGGCGGCGAGGAGGTTCTTCGCTTTCAGCGGCAGCAGTTGCATGGAGTCCACCGGCATCAGAGAAGTTTTTCATAGAAGTTATGCCACTCGTGCGGTTACAAAATTTAACCAGACCATCAAAACTTACCGCACCAAATCCACCGACGACGAAACAGTGTTTTCAACTTGTACGTGGAATATCAATGAGCCTAGCTTGAGATTCACCTCCTAGTTCCTACTCTGACACCGGCGATGGCCAGAAGCAGACATTTGTTTCATTATTTCATATTCCAAGAATGGCAAAGCTGTGTAACAAAATGATCGATATCTTCTGGATTTTATTTGTTTGGTTTGTAGCTTTGAATTGGAAAGGATAAAGAGTTGTTAACGTTGAGACGTGCGGTCTGTTAAAACAATGTTAGTGGGTGGCTAAATCTAGCTTGAATAAGTTATATATGTGCTAATTTGATCCAATTAAAAGTTTGATGTCCAATCCTAACTTTGTAAGTAACCATAGTGTCTTTTTTTAGCCTTCTCCCTTTTATCTTACTGTGTAATGGATCACGCTAAAACAACACATTCTACATCATTGATATTGCAAGCGCCACGACAAAACTTTGACATTCGTCCTTTATTTTGTAAACATTCCAAAAGACCTTAGTACAAAGGCACTTATTATTAAAGACTTGGATTATATTATGAACAACAGGTTTTCAAAAGTTGGCTATCAATATGAGAACTTGAATGAGAAAATGAGAAATCTAGAATAGATGGTAGCAAATTTGGCATGATTAATGCAGAGCAAGTTTCAAGTTCTAATAATCATTCACTGATTCCTAATAATTCAAATGCATAGCAAGCTTCAAGTTCTAGTAATCAATCACCGATTCTTAATACATCCGAATCATTTGCAACTAGATGCACTAAGATTGAACTTTCAATATTTCATGGTGATAAATTTTTGAAGTAATGAATATACAAATGTGAGCAAATGGATTTAGATAGAGAAGCCTTACGGTGACACTATGCATTAGAGGCTATAAGAAATTAGTTCTTGAAACATTTGGAAAATATTTTGATGATCAAATGTAATAATTAGTATCATTAAATAAGAAGGGTCTACTTAGAAACCAAACAATGATTATTTAGAATAGTTTTCGATGATCCTAACAAAACATTAGTTGTTTGGTGAACACGTGCTAAATGGGCTGAAACATGATATTTAGATGCATGTTAAGATGTTTAATCCGACTACTATGTAACGTGAAACATTGAGTAATAATTATATGGTGAAACTTGTATGAGTTATGGATTTTAAACAACTACGGAGTAATATGTTTGTATAGTTCTAGACTTGATTCACATTCTATCTATTTAATACAAACTATGTTACTTCAATTTTCATAATAATTACAGTACTTTGTCATGTTCTAATTTTATTAACACGGAGGTAGTAGTATTTTTACTAAGAGTGACATTGTCATACTTTAAAAAACAATGTTGATGTTATTTAAGAAAAATATTTTATGTCTATAATACTTATATTATAACTATTTGCTCATACATAAGCCATGTCTTTTTTGTTAATACATAAAAGTAATTTTCAAAAACAATTCATTCAAACACTTTAGGAGTCGTTGGGTTCAGGGAATGTCAGATTACCACCAGAATGTCATATTGGTATGTTAGATTGATGGGAATGTATCCAATTTATTCTCATTTATGTTTGGTTAAGATTCGGGGAATGTGATATTAATTTACTTGGTTGAAAGATATCTTATATTGCAGTTATGGTGAATTACTTCAATGTCCTTTAAATATTTTATTTTAACACAATAAATCTATTACAACCTACATTTAAAGTAATTAAAATCAAAGAAAAAATGAGATATCTTAATAATAAATAAAATCAAACCTAGTTGAATTATTTTTAAGTAAAATATGTTTAATTGTAAAAAGTTGTAGATCCAATTCAAAAGTGAAGAAAACTTTGTTCAAATAGTAATCTAAATGTATTTATTATTATTTCAAAAAAAAAAATTAAAAAATGTTCAAGTTATTCATAAAACTTCTTATCAAATTAAAGAAAAAATGATCAATTTTCCCATTAATTTTTGAAATTCACTCATCAAAAACTTAAATAATCTACAAGCCTTATAAAATAAATATCTTATAAAATTTAAATGTTAAGGAAAAATGAATTATGGAAATAACAAGAATAGACATTCGAATATAAATAAATAAACATATTCCATCTGTCTTACTTAAAAGGTTGACACACAATCTACGATCGACTGACCATAAAATTTACTGATCTCTTTCAATAATAAGATTATTTTTTAGTAAATAAAATTTAAATATTTAGAAACTACATTAAAAGTTTTATAAAATCGCATTATGTAAAGAAATTAAATGAAAAGAGATAACTAATTGGGGGTATTTTCGAAGGAAAATTAGACCATCATCGTAAGATAACTAAGGCATGAGTGGTTCTAAGATTCCCCTCCACATTACATTCCCGGAAATGTAACTTTTCCGATTTTTTCTCAAACGCGTGAATCAAACATTAATATATGACATTTCGTGCATCACATTCCGGCCTTCACGTGAGATTACCCCAAACCAAACATACCTATCCTTAAAGTATAGTTTAAACTGATTCTCTATTCCACACAATACAAAAATTAGGTTTTAGTTTTAACAGTCTTTTCGTTTTTTCTTTCAAACTGTATATTCCAGAAAACCAAAACTGCGTCGTTTTGGTCTTTCTAAAAATCTCTATACCGCATAGCAGTCTGGCTCTGGCACTCTGTAGTCTACCACGACAAGGCTAGACTGCAACCATCCATTCTTTAGAGCTCGACGCATCACGATTCACGCACGACGGTCGGCTACGTCTCCAGTGTTCCAACGCCTCAACGACTTCTGAGTCCCGACCCGCCTCCACGCCGCGTGGCCGCCAGGCTACCACCGCACCACCACTCCATCAGGCGCCCAGTTCGGCCGGCCAGACCGAGAGTCCGAGACGCCCAGGTTTTGAATTTTACACTTTACATAATTCAGCATTTTGGATTAATTATTAAGATTTCTTTGATTTTTAAGACTAAATTATTAAGTTTATGATATTTGTGAATATATTTTCAATTTTTTTTCAATTTAGGATGAAAAGATATATGGATAGTGTACCGAGATTTAAAGAAATTCGGAGTACCAAGAGTAGTTGGGATGTTAGTTTAAATGATTCACCACTATTAAATGAAGAATTGGATCAAATAATTGCTGAATGTGGAATTAATTTGAGTGATAATATACATGACCAATATGTTGATTTTTAATCTTTGGAAGCTGATCACACTACAAGAAATCACACATTTTATGACAAATATTTGTTTGACAAAACAAAAATTGTCACATTTAATTGAGTTATAGTTACAAAATGTGAATCTGTCACTTTAAAACGACTTCTTATGACAATATTTTTTATGGTCACTTTATCTCTTAGATTTTGTCACTAATGGATAAAATACATGACAATAAAATTGAAGTTGTCACATAATTTTGGAGGGAATTTTTTTGTGACGTTTTAACAATAATTAATGACGATAATTTTTGTCATATTTATTTTGAATTATAATGACATATCATATTTTGTCACTTATTGTTTTACTAAATAATGACAACATTATTTCGTCATTGATATTTCTCTTTGGTGACGATAAATCTAAATTTGTCATAATATCACTATTTAATAACATTATTTCATTCTTCCTTTTTGTAATGAGTAATGACGTTGCTAATCATATATTAATGTTTACATGTAACAATGAATACTGAATACTATTAATCGATCACACATTTACATTTATTAAGATCCTGTTTGGTAGCACGAAAATGGGTTGATTTGGCTGATTGTGCTGAAACTTTTGAAGTTTTGACTGAAGTGGCTGCATTGGTGGAGATTTAAGAAAAAAATATTTTTAAATACGAAGTATATTTTATTAATAAAATAAATAAAAAATGATATGTAAAAATAACTAAAATGGCCATTTACAGTAACTTCAGCCAATACAGCCAGAAAAAAAACTTCAACCTTACTTTTTCTGTTTATTACACAATTCAACGCGCAAAAACGAAAGTTACGTGTTTGATGAAAAAATTGGATGATAAGAAGTCGAAAAACAGTGTTGTCAAACGGTATGTAAAAGTTTTTATAATAATAATAATAGGTATGTACTATATACGTGTTACATAGTATTAGAACAACAATTATAATAGTAAGATAGTGGGTCTCAATTCCTTTTATTTTTCAGCAGGTTTGGAATTTGGATACTTTTAAAGTCTATCAATTTTAAATAAATTATAAAAATCAATGCTTCTAAAATAAATTGCAAACAGAAATCTCTCGTAGCCAAATATAATCTTCTTTTTGCATCAACCGAGGACTCCATCTGCGGCAGACATCAATTGTGACGGCAGAGACTGCACCAGTGACGGAGATCGGGGACCGGCGGCGACTCCATCTACGGCAGACAGCAATTGCGACGGCAGGGACTACAACAGCGTCGGCGATCGGCGGCGACTCACAGCTGCTTCAGAGAATCAAAGGCGAAGGTGAGTGCATATTATTTGAATTCCGGAGGAATTTGAACGGGTTACATGAGTGTTTATGATATATGTTGTCTTTCCATTCAATCGTTGCCTTAATTCCTGCGAAAATACTTTTCGTATAGAAGTAATACAAATCCTTGATTTACTTGTTGTATATTTGTAGTATACATTACCGAGTACAAATGAACAACTTAAACTAACCAATTCACCTTGTTCTGTCCTCCAAATATTTTGAATCCAGTTGATTCATACTATCATATATATAGAGCTATTGTTTACATAAACAAAGGATTCTAAACTTTATCTATGACTAAAAAGAAGATTCATACTTAACTTCTCCAAGAACTCCATTTTGTTAGACAATCAATAAATCAATTCAAAGTTGTTTTTTCGCTGGAATTTTGTCCAATGAATAAAGACATGAGTGACATTCCTTAATTGAAACATATATAATATATACAATATCACTATGTTTGTTTTTTATTTTCTTACACACTGAACAGAGGACAATAATTTGCTATTGAGTATTTCACTAATCTAAATGAAGAAAGGAACTTTCATAACTGATAGTGGTAATGGAGCTGGATATGTTCCCGTTTTTATCATATAATTGGAGGGAAGTTTTTTGATGAAATATTAAGAAAAATGAAAATTAATGACGACGACTTGTGTCACATAATATCTAATTATAATGACATAATCATTGTTGTCATTTATTGTTTATATAAAAAGTGACAATATTATTTTTTGTCATTTATGTTATACTTTGATGACGATAAATGTAAATTCCTCATAGTTTGAAGTTTTAGCAAAATATAATAAACGTTTGAGCAATAGTGCTGGACTTTAGTGACCGGCAGAGACTGGAAGAAGCTGTGAGACTATCGATGGGAGATTATTTTTAGTTCTCAAGGAGCTTCAGGAGGTTAGTGTCTTATATAAACGATTGAAAATTCTGAATCAAGTGGATTGTGAACTCGTAGATTAAATTTGATAATTTATTTTCTTAACTTTTACCAAAATCTATAGAGTAATTATTGGTTTAATGGATGCATACAGAGAGTAGAGATATTTACTAGAAAAGTAACAAAAACAACTACACGATTGTCTAAATAGAGTACTAGTTACTAGGCTTATATATCTAAATAAATTAAGTCTATGTTAAATATGGGTTTTAATTCTCAACTTGGTTGATCTTTCAATATTTTCTTATATACCAGGTGGGATACAAATGGACAAGAGTTGGATCCATGCAATTAAATGGTCCCCTGCTTATATAGATGGAGTGAACTCTTTTATGAAATTTGTTGAAAAATTTAATGGTCGAGAGGGAGAAATAAGATGTCCTTGCAAAGGTTGTTTGAATCCATGACCTTGGATTGAGAAAAAATTTGCTGATTTTCATCCTAACGTTCAACCTCGGGACCATGATTTCCCTTTTAATGTAATTGGCGGAAAAAACATAGGTTTGTTTCGAGTTGGTTTGATGAGCATAAATGGTTGGAATACAGTAGAATATTATATATTATTTCCAACAAATGAAACCCGGGAGGTTAAATTTGTAGAATTGCAAAATAAATTTTATACTTCCTCCATTCTTTTTTAGTTGCAACGGTCAACATTTCACACTTGCCAACGCACGTCTTTGACCGTAATTATATCTTAATCCATATTAGTAAAAAAAAATTAAATATCAGTTTTTGAAAATTTGTAATGAGATGAATTGGACAATATTTTTGTAAAAAAATAATATTTATAAAATAATAGCGTAAAATGCAGTCAAAGTAGAACATGTGAATAGTGTAAAATTCAACATGCTGCGATTTAAAAAATGGAGGATAGTATGTAATTTTGTGTATTATGACTATCTTAATATTTTGATGATGTACGTTAACTAACAAACGTTATGCTTCTTTAATATTTTACTTGTTCTTTTATTAATTTTATATCAATTAAAGTTAGTAGAGACCCCCATGACTCTATTTTTCTGTCCAGGCCGCCTAGGCACAAGTTTGCATAGTAGAGAGATACTTATTAATTCATAACAATTCTTGTTCTGAAAAACAATTCATGGCGGTGGCTTCTTTCCTTACCTTTGTATAGCCCTTTGTGCAGAGAGAATTCACTGCAGTGATGCAGTCCACTTTCTAGCCACCGTTGCTCTCTGCCGTAGGTCACCGCTCCTCTGTTGCAGCCTCGCAGGTAGGCAGGTAGCCGTTGCTTGCCATCACTATGCCTAGTGGGTTAGCTAAGTTTTGAGCTGTCCTTTTTTCCCCTATCGGTTAATATTTTTTTTATTTTTATCATCTTTTCGTCTAATTTGATTTATATCCTCCCTCTATACCAGTATATTGTTTCTGATTTGGTTCTGCTCTGAGTTCTTCCCTCTAAATTGCTTCATTATCTATTCCTCTTAATCATTTTTGACGTATTCTCAGTTTACTCTCCTCATAATTGATTAATACTCTCTCCCTCAATTTTGTTTCTTATTTGTTTATGTTTTTTATCAGTTTAATCCATCAATTTTGAGTTATTGAACTCTTGTTATGATTTATTAAAAATTTGCTTTAAATTACGTAAAATTGGTAATTGGTATAGTATGCTAGTGCTCCGTATCGAGTACTAAATTTAAATGTTAGTATATTACATATGGTGCCAGTGTGCAGCTTGTGGCCTAGGTGCCCAGGGGACAAGGCAGTCTTCTGGCGCTGTGATGACACTGCTTTTTACTTATTTTCTGTTGATAAAACATGGGATTTTTTGTTAATAAAATATGGGTGTTTGCGTTCGATTCCTATGAATCTTCTTATAAAATTTGTATGCTTCTTATATTTCTATTTGCATTCTTGATTTGAGTTTTTTTATCTCTTTCAACAGTTTCTAATAAATATGCATTGTCATTGATCCAAAACAAGTATTGCTTACCTGACTTAATTTAGGACACTTGATTAAATATAGGCCACTTAGATGTTCTGTCTTAATTTTTTTTTTTGGAAATATGGGAGGGTGAAGGCCCAAAAGAGCTATATCTGTCTCTTCTCACATAATAATAACTCGACGACTGATGCCTAACATATCATTTTGGACAAAATGCAATATTTCATTAGGGACATTCAGCACTCTGAATGTCTTTCTAGGCCCCGTGACTGTGTCTAACAGCTCTTGCTGTATGCCTGTATAGTCTACCCTACATGTACAGTTGGGATGTCCGAAATCTTTGCAACTCTTCTCTGCATCTCTCTATAATCATCTGTTTTTAATTTTTGATTCCTAATTTCAGAAGTTACCGGATGGGATAAAGATGGCAGTAGTAGGATATAATTTTGAGCTTTTGTATTTTATGTGGATTGAAAGTCATTAATGACGTTGTTTTTTACAATAACGTGCCTATGGTATTAGAAAGTCAGTACTCATTTTTCTATATGATGACTATAGTGACAACTGCAGACTTCTATCTTTTGAATATGAACCATGAAGAAAGTTCAATTTGACATGGAGGATGATGAATGGTTATAATCTTTTTTAATTTGATAAAAATATCATTTTACGTGAGTATATTTTTAGTAGTATTATGAAATATACTCCTGTTTATATTTGTCTGCCCATTCATTCTAAATATTGCTTGTACTGCAGCTTTCTTACATCGAATTAGGTCTTAGAAAGCTGTGCAGTAAGTTTGTAAGTGCATGTTTTAAATTTTAATATCTTCTGATGACAGAGTGACTGCATTGCAGAAGAGTTCAAATGAATCCATTGACATTAGTAAAGCGTATCCAGAACATAAATGCTAAGGAAGCTGCATTGGGTTTATCTGAAGATGCTTCGTGGCATGTCAAGTACAAAGAGTCCGCTTATGTATTTGTTGGTGGGGTTCCCTTCGACCTCACCGAAGGCGACCTCCTAGCTGTTTTTGCTCAGTATGTATTTTTATCTAATTTAATTATCTTTTTTCTATGGAGGAATAGAACTTTCAAAAACTAATTTACTTCTGCTTTTCTAATAATGCAACTTTTTAGATATGGTGAGATTGTTGATGTGAATCTTGTTAGAGATAAGGGAACAGGAAAGTCTAAAGGCTTTGCTTTCGTTGCATATGAGGATCAGAGAAGTACAAATCTTGCTGTAGGTCAGTCAGTCTGTTTTTGGACAACAGAGAGTATTAGTTGTATAATACTTTGTACTTAATACTGATCAATCTCGATTTTCACTTTTATTGGATTTACAGATAATCTGAACGGTGCCCAAATTCTTGGGCGGACTATAAGAGTGGATCATGCTAGCAATTATAAGAAGAAAGAGGAAGAGGATGAGGAGACAGCGAGGAAGAAAAGAGAAGAAAGAGGTGTATGTCGTGCCTTTCAAAAGGGTGAATGCACTAGGGGAGATGGATGCAAATTTTCCCATGATGAGCAAGTGAGACTGACTTCATCAATTTAATACGGAGTATATTAGCATTGATGTTACTCTTGTTGTACGATTTGAGGTATCATATATCTTAGTTGATGGCACCCGCTGGCAGTAGCCTGCAGCCTATGCAATTGATTAGAACTTATAACTTTATAAGGGAAACAATTTTCAGATAAAATATGTTAAACTGAAAAGAAAGTGTGAAAACCCAAAGAAAGCTTAATAGTCTTCTGCAAAACATCTTTATGATATCTCATTCTATTTATCGGCTCACTTTGAAGGTCTTAAACTAGATAGTATAAATGCTTTGCTGAAAGGCACAAACTGCACGAGGAAAGAACACAGCTAGCCGATAGTATGAAATCTACACAGGTTATCTAGCTGTTCTGAGTTCTGACCTTTTGAATCTTATAACCGATTCAATTATCTATTCGTTGCATTTGTTTTGCAATTTTAGGTCTGATTGTGTAAAAAACCAGTCTTTAAATGGTGGTAATTAAAACGAAATGAACAAGAACAAATACGGGTCCAGCCCAAGTGCTTGAGCCACATCCCATAATTTCTTTTATTTATTACGGAGTATTTTTTAAGGCAATCCTTCACCGGAGGATCAATGTTAGTCTCCACCTTTTATTATATGATTTATCTCAACTCTACAAATCTGTGTTCTTACTTGAGGTTTTTGTTCGCTACCGCTTTTTCCATGCTCATGTTGACGACTTGACGCCAACTTGCCGCCAATTCTCGCTGAGTTTCGGAATCTAAATAAGTTTTAACTTTTTATTATTATATTTTTTGCGACCATTCTTCCTGACTTGTCTGCCTGGAATGCCTGCAAACATGGACCAACTGCAACTTATTCCAGCAAGATAACTTGCCCATCAGATTATTCTGCCTGATAGCTTTGCTGTTCCTAATCCAAATATTCCACTCCTTTTTTCCTTTAAGAGGGTGTTATTTATTGTCTTAACTTAAAGTAAAGATGGTAAGTCATAAGTAAAATAGCAATCTTTGATTAATAAGATCCATGAAGTATAGAGTCTTTGTTTTAACGATATATGTCCAGCATCGAGTCTAGCGTGAACCCCAATTGCCTCCCTAACTTTTGTAATCAACATTCCTTGTTTGCTATCAAGGTCCCTTCTTTTCCTTCCATCTCTTTCTCAGCTCTGTCATGTTCATTTCAGATCTTTTGTACTTCAAACCAATGAATTTGTTGGAAGTCAAGGTAAAATAGTATAATATGACTAGAATACCCCTCTTAATAATTTAAAATACTGTGAAACATTTTTGGATAGAGAAGCGAAGTTTTAGAAAATGATTAATTAGTGATTTCTTATATTGTGAAGTGGCATATTAGCTAAAAGAGAAAAGTAATTGTTATCTGCTTGATATTGCTCCTAACATTTAAATATCAGTTTCTTGTTCTACACCTTTTAGTGGATAAAATCTCTCTCTCTCCCTCTCCCTCTATAACTTACTAACTATGTTTTAATGTGCATTCAGAGAGCTTCAAACACAGGCTGGGGCCATGAAGAAGATAGAACTTCAAAATGGGGACATCAAGAAGATAGGCCTTCAACGCGGGGACGTGAGGAAGATAGACGTTCAAAATGGAGCAATCATGAAAACGCGGGAAAACACATAGTTGTGCAGAACTATGAGCGTAAAAAGATGGGTTCAGTAGATAGGCACAGTAGAGGTCTTGAGAAGATGCAATCAAGACACAAAGAACACGCGACTGATAACAGGGGAGATGACTATGATGAACCTAAGTCACCACGAGGTCGTGATAGTAGGATGCATGAAAAAGCAAGGAGGCATGATCATGATTCAAGATCAAGGAAACATGACAATGATCGAAGTTCAAGGGAAGATGATAACGGCGATAGGAGAGAGAGAGCAAGAAGACGTGATTATATATGATTCTGGAAGACAGTCATTTAGGTGCTTGCTACATATTATGAGACTGGAGATAAAACATCTCTCTTTTCACGGTGTGAAGTGATGAGTGACCCACTGTCGCATCTCTCCTTGTTTTTCTATTAGATAAAACTTATGCCAGCCTTCTTTTCGACCATCGTTTCTGGATACCGTCTCTGCTCTTGAAGAAGTTCAGTATGAATCTGCAATCTTGTCCAATCATGATAGGGGCAGCAACTTGTATGACTGACTTTTTAATGTAATTGTTTGACTGCCACCTACTGACCAATGAATGAAATGGCTAACGACTCACATCTTGAATTCACATTTTCGCATGTATGACACTCCCTGTTTTACCTAAACCTCATATATCTTCATCGTCTTTGCTTTTCGGACCCCCCATGCTTCCCGAAGCTTCATTTCCAATCTCACACCCCCAGGTATGGTCCCAAAAAGCGTGATCTGGGCTTTGCATTGGACATTGGTAGTTTGGTGTTTAATTTGAGCATTTGACCATTGTCCATTCGTCCCTTCTCCCTTCATATTTTTTGGGTCTTTCTTTTGTATAAAATGTAAATTACTTATTTTTATGCAAAATAGGCAGAGAATATTAAGTTGACACATATATGAATAGAGAATACATGTGAAAAAATGAGTCAACAAGAACAATGATTGAAAAGAAAACAATGTACTTCGTATACAATTATACAAATGTGAACTTTTTAGAATTTAGTGATTATGAACGACTATGTCAATTTTACGCTTAAGTAAACGTGATGTTACACTTAATTCAATATATTTAACGAAAACCTCTTACGTAAAAAAGAAACTACAATCTTTCGTTTTACAATAAAAACAAGGTGAGATTTGTGATTTGGGAAACTGACAAATCTTCTTAAATACAATAAGCTGAAGTCTAACTTATATTCATACGGAGTACAATGACACAATTGTAAGTAATGTTGTTATAATTATTGCTCTCGGTATCCATTTGAGGCTCGCAAATAGCATTTTTGTGGTCAATTAAAACGCGCCGTATATAGTTTCGTACTTTCGTAAGGTAAAATTTTATTTTATCTTAAAGTTTTTACAGTTTCATCTCTTCATGAACTTTTTAATTTAGTTTTATCTCAACACCTCTCTCACTGCTTTATCTCAACAATGACATAAGTGCGGGTGGAATTCGATGTACACGTTTTCTATATGCATCTTCATTTTGCTCGTGTCTATAGACGAGTGATCTTAGAAAAAATAAAATTTTGGAATTGTACAAAGACAAAATCAGCATGTATATAGACGTGTTACCGCTAACGGTTAAATTACCAAATGGTAAAAAAGGATGGTTTATCAAATTGGTATAAAGAAAATTTTCAAAGAAAAATTGGTAAAAAAATAAAGCTTGGGTTACAAATTAGTCAATTTTGTGAGTGAAATGGTCATTGACTTTAAAATTCTCGACATTTAGCCCTTCAAGTATTATAAAAACTAATAATAATCCCAACTATTGCTGGTCCGCTGATAATAATCCCAACTATTGTTTATTTTTGTATAATCCCAACTATATGGACCATCCGCCAATAATGGTCCATGAACAGATATTACCTCCTATGAAAAGTGAATTTTAAATAGAAATTAGGCGTAAAATTAAAAGTTGGGATTATTTATAGGGATTACTTGTTATATCTCTTCTCATCCACCTTAGAAACTACGAAAATTTATTTATAGGGACCATTATTGGCGGAAGGTCCCTAAAGTTGGGATTATTCTGAAATAATCGATAGTTGAGATTATTATGGGCGGACCATCAATAGTTGGGATCTCTGTTCTAAAAATCGTTCTAGGCGCCCGACTAGTCCCCGCCTAGGCGCTAGGCGGTGGTTGGGCGCCCCGATTTTCATCTAGGCGCTCCGACTAATTGGTTTGCCGTCTAGGTGAATTAGTCGGCCGCCTATGGCGCCTAGTTGCCCGCCTAGAGCGCCTAATCGGCCGCCTAGGCCGTCTAGATTCGCCGAACATTACTTTATTGTTTAATTTAAATTTTCTAAGTAATATATGTACTTTAACTTTAGCCATGGATATAAAGAAATGAAGTTGTAAATTAAGATAAAAATATATATGTTTGTATATATACCTAAATTTTATCATTATATTATCCTCCGTATCGCATTAGTTGCAACATTGAAATTTATACACTATTCATGTCCTCTACTTTCACTACATTCTATTTATTAATTAATGTGTTTTTTTTTTTGAAAACATACGGTTGAATTCGTCTCATTATTAAGTTTCATAATCTGAATTTTAACTATTTTTTTACTAATACATAATTAAATATAATGACGGTCAAAGTTGTACGTTGGCAAACGTGAAAAAAGGAATGTTGCAACTAAAAAAGAACGGAGGAAGTATATATTTATAACATAATGAAGTTAAGTGATTAGTTATCATATACTATGTATGATTAAATGTGATAATTCTATCATTCATGTTTGTTAATGTATATGTATATATGTATTTTATACACACAAAAATACAGTATTACTTATCATATTTATGCAAACATATAGATAAAAATGCAATTTCAATGTCTCCGACTAGTTCCCACCTAGGCGCCCGCCTAGCCGCCTAGGCGCTAGGCGCTGGGCTGGCGCCCGACTAGCGCCTAGAGCCTTTTAGAACATTGGTTGGGATTATTACTATCAATTTTTCCTTTCTTTTTTAGCTTGTTCCAAAATAAGTGGTACATTTCTTTTTTGAAAAAAAAAATATGAAATCTATAACATTTCACTATATTATACCTCAAGTCTCAAACCTCAATCACAAATTTTATTTTTTCAATCACTTTGTTAATAATTGTATCAAATTAAAGTAAGACACATGCGATGGGATGTAAGCATTAGTATTTAACATTTTCTACTGCATAAAGTCACTATGAATATTTTTACTATTTTATCGGTATGAATATTATTGCTACTTTATATGGACTGACATTTAAAAAAAATAGTCATATTTAAAATATTAATACTAAAAATAAAAGTAAATGTGTGATCGTGTAAATGTACATTGGTTAAAATGATAGTGGTACTAGTTATATAAAATAAAAGTAAACATAATTTTTAAAACTATTTCCAAGACTTATTAAAAAAACAAAAGAAATAAAGTTAAACTAAATATGTACTTTTATATTCTTAATAGTCATCTAATGTCTTAACAACTATTCTCAAACATCTAAATTACTAAACATTTTACTTCTATCACTCTGGTTGACACTTTTAGTCATTCACTTTTCACAATAAATCAAAATAAAAGAATTGAAAATATCAATTTCAAAATGTTGAGAGATTTTAGAGCCCGTTTGGTAACACTAAAATATGTTAAATCGGTTGATTCTGTTGAAATTTATGAAGTTATGACTGAAATGGCTGTATTGGCTGATTTATAAAAAAATTATATTTAAAATATTTATTATTAATAAAATAAAGTAAAATTACATGAAAATAAGGTCATGTAGTAACTTCAACCGATACAATTAGAAAAAGTAACTATAACCTTACTTTTTCTTATTATTACACAATTCAGCCCGCAAAAACAAAAGTTATGTGTTTCGTTAAAAAAGTTGACTTATAAGTCTAACAAGATGAATAATAGAATCACTAAATAGACTCTTATGCTCTGTTTGGATAAAGTGCACTTAAGTAAACCTAGTGCAATAAAGTAAACTTAAGTTTTAATAAAAACTAGGTTAACCTAATTGAACCTAGGTTCTTGCGTAAAATAGTGTTTCGAAATAAATAAGGTGAGCCTAGGTTAACGTAATAAATGTTGTTTGGATGGAAGTACTCTAGCTTATTTTATGTTGAACGAGAACTTAACCTCTAAAAACCTGACTTCGGAGGTTTTTCAATTTGAGGTGTTCCCAGGTTCTCAGGAGTGACGTAAGGTTAAATCATAACCTAAAATCTTATTGCAAAAAAACAAACAAATAAGATTAACTAAAAATTAAACATGCAACAACCTATGTTAACCTCCAAACAAAAATTAACCCCCATTGAAGGTGTGAAGAAAATTTCCTAAAAGCTATGCTAACATACCAAGTAACCAAACACACCCAATAATCTACCACAGACGACGTCTCAAGCTTAAAAGGGAAAACGATAATTGTCCAGAAGCTCTTCTCTTCCATAGTCATCCTGTGTAAGTTCTAATCCTCTGAATTCTGATGTTCTAAGCCATTCAAAATTTAAAAACGTATTGGGTTATTGCCGTAGAAATTAAGAAATCAAACAATCTAGTATCTTCAATGATTCAATGTAAAATACATAGAGAATTAGAGTGTTGAAACCTAAAAATTTTAAGAATGCCTCAACCCTCCACTGATCTCCAGTAGTTTTGCCAACTCAGACAAAGCAATCAACTATTAAAAAAAATCATATTTACAGCTTTGCCTGACTTCGTATTCACAATTCACAGCCACCCAGCATCCAACACCCGGGTAAAACTTCAATGTGAATTTCTCAGTTTTTTCTTGCACTTTTAAAATTAGTTTTGTTCAATTGCTATTTCATATGTTTGTAGTTATTATTTTATCAAAATATGTTATCTTGCTGAATTGTTTTTTGTGCTAGAGTGAAACTTTTTCCTCGGTTGAATTTTTCTAGTGTGCATATTTGATATTAATTTCATTTTTTGTAAATTTAACCAATTTTAAGGTTTTGATAATATGGTTGAACCTATATGGAAGAAAAAGAAAAAAAATATTATAAATAGCTGTCCTAAGTCCTACATTGAACAAGGTCAATGGAAAAAATGTGTAAAGAAACTAACATTGGTTACATTGAATGTGTATCCCAATATAATACACTACAAAGCTGTCAACAACCAATTTTATCATTTGAATGGAAAATGGTAACCCTCATTGGAATAATGATTTAGGTGCTGAAAATAAAACAGTTGAAAATGATCCTATATAGGATGATGATGATTTAGGAGTATAAGATACATATATTGATTTGGGCGGATCAAATGTTTTTTATTTAATAGCTATGGTTGGTTCTACTTGCGTTTGAATATGCAACATATCCAGTTATTGAAGTACTTCTTTTCTTTATGATATACTTCGGTATATACTAAAATATTTTTATTATGCATCATAATTTAAAGATAAGTATGTTTTACAATGTCTTCTTCTTTTTAGAATAAGCCCATGATAGACCATTGCCCCTAAGCCCTAAGGCTTAGGCCCTTTCATAGATAGGTAGGTCCGGCCCTAGTTATGAAGAACTACTACTACATACACTTCAGAGGACACTTAAATGTCCCTTTTAGCCAAAATAATCACCAAACAATGTCAGTTCATAAATTTCAACTATCAAATCAATTTCAGGCTTTTAAGCAATTTTAGCATTCTTTCCATCATTTGCAATGGAGCCAAAGACTCACTATTTTTTGGCTTGGGAATATGATGGAATAAAGCAAAATGACTCGCTAAACTGTCAGCGCTTCTTTGTTATGAAGCAAGTAGTCCATCCATGCAATTTTTGACGCAAATTTCACTATAGGTCATCCGAAAATAGTCTCTTTGTGTTTTAGTACGGGGTAAGACTGCGTACATCCGACCCCCTATCCCGCCGTAGGTGGGAGCCTTTGCGGCACTGGGGTAATGATGATGATGAAGCAATTTTAGCAGGCACCACCAACTGGAGCCTTAAATTATTTAGAAATGGATGCCTTATTTAGTTCTTTTAGAGTCAACCTATCAGTCCTTGTGTAGTACTTCCTCCTCAAATTGGTTTACAATTTGCAGTTTTAAGGTTGATTGATGATATAGTTAAATCAATTTTAATAATTAAGAGTTAAATATTTTGGAACTACAATAAGAGTTCTTTATAGTCGCAAAATTCAACTGAAAAAATGAAAAAATATATGATATTTGAAATAAATAAATAAAGTTACTGTTTTGACTAGAAAAGGTAAATATGATATTTGCAAATCATTTTGCCATAGATGAAGTAGCAGTGTATGAATAAGTCCAGACCTGTCAAATTGCTGCTTTAGGCTAGGCCTGCCAGACGTGGAGGCCACCTGTAGCAAAGAGCTTGTGAAAACTAATTCTATAAATCTGAAACAAGTTTGGTTCCAGCCTAGAATATACCGGCAAAATCCGGCTTCTGCCGAGAAATCCATCATTCACCCGGCAAAGTCCATGCTTCTGCAGAAAAATCCGGCAAAAAGCACTTCAATTTGCACCCGCGAAGCACTTTCTGGACTCCCACTCAGCGACGTCTCAGTATTATGGATGAACGAGAAATTGTTTTAAGCTACAAGGACGTTGTATTGAGGGGTGTGGATTTACATGCTCTTCAGGGGCCTTGTTATCTAACTGATCAAATAATAGCTTTCTATTTCAGTTATCTGTCTTCCTTGTATGATCCAAAAGAAGAAGACATCCTACTTGTTCATCCCTCTGTGTCCTTTTTCCTTGCCCATTCCCTGGATGAAAACCTTGGTGATTTTATGGAACCATTAAAACTGTCCACCAAAAAACTGGTCCTTTTCCCTGTAAACGATTGCACAGATTTTGATGGGGGTGAATCCGGAGCACACTGGAGCCTGGTTGTTTATGACAGAACTAAGAATAGTTTCTCACATCTTGACAGCATTGCTGGAGCTAATCATCTGCATGCCTTGCATATCTATAAGTCACTCAAGGGGTTTATGGGACCTTCTGTTGCCACTCAACCGCCACAATCTATGAAAAATGAGGAGAAGAAGAAACCACCTGCCTCATCATCACCTGCTCCTATTGCTGATGCAATACCTGAATTTGTTGAAGTCCCCTCCCCTCAACAGAAAAATGGATATGATTGTGGAATTTATGTCATTGCAATTGCCCGGGCTATCTGTCAATGGTTTTCATCTCCCAGGAATAATAACAGAGATGTTGATTGGGTTTCTTTTGTTCAAAAGCATGTTGATGCTTCTGTGGAGATAACCATGCGTGGTGAGATAATTAAGCTCATTCAAGAGTTACGTGATGCTTGATCATTCCTTTCTTACTGAGTCATTTGTGGGTGTGATTTTACTGCCAATATTGCTTGGCAACTCAGTTTGTTTACAGTCTGCTAAATTAACACGTAAGCACCATTAGCAGCTTCTTCAATGTGAATGTTAACATTTCCTATCTTTAATCGCATAGATAAAGATAGAGATCCAATCTCTATTTTAGTTTAGAGTGAATGGCATCTTGTAGGTGGATATTTATTCAAGTTGTTGGTCTATACTTCTATTGAGAAACCCAGGAAATGTTCCCACCCCATGTGAAAACTGAGAAATAATTACAGAGTATTTCTCTGCATTTTTTTCCTTCTAATTTTTGCTGACGTTAGTTTTTGTGCCATTTGGGTTTTGTGTGCACCTGATGTGGCAGCACACTGCAATCATCTCAGCTACCGCTGCCGCTATTGTTTTGCCACTATTGTTTTGCCGCCATCGCAACCATATTACTTCCTTCTTGACGAGTAAACGTGCGAACACGTGCAGGATGCAAAATGATGTACTTTGTGTTTACTGTGGTATACATTTTTCAAATACGCATTTGAGGTGGTTCATAAAACTCTATATTAACAAAACTGTCCTGCATTTTTCTTCACTTTTCTTCAGTGTTGGACATTTATGATTCTTAAATCTTGGAATGAATGCGTACAATGATCCTCATTTCTATTCTAAGATGTCATTCACATTAGGATAAATGCTCACATATGTGCATTTATTGATTCTTTGATTTATGGGTTCACATGGGATATGCCTTCCAAATGGGAGGCAGATCAACTCCCTATATTCGAGATAAGATGATAAGATACTGAATTGAACATCTAAACTTCCTTGTAACAATTTCTTAAAGAAGGGGTCTCAACATCCAAGGTGCATTAGAGCATCCGCAAGGACCTCAAGCATACTTCCTTGTAACAATTTCTTAAAGGAGGGGTCTCAACATCCAAGGTGCATTAGAGCATCCGCAATGACCACGATGCTTGAACGTCTAGTCTTAAAAATATATGTCACCTCATTAAATTAGACATCCTATATGTATTTTCTACTCCAATGCCGTAGTCTTCAATTTATTTTCGCTGACTTGGCAAAAAATTGGTAAGCACTGTTGAGGGAACTTTTCAAGTGTAGACACCATCGTAGACTTGCTGACTAGACCAAACCATTAAAAACACATGTTGCTGACGAAAAATTAAAGAGAAAGTAAAATTTTGCATCGTGGTCGGTCATTTGTTTTGCTCAATTTGTTTCTCCAAAGCACCCAAATACCTTCTGTTTGGGCCGTCCAGGCGGTTTTCCGAATACACCCAACACCAACAATACACATCCCTGCATGGTTGCACTCATGGCAGTTATATGAAGTATTACTTTATGTACATATAGAGATTTGATTTTTTCGTAATAACCCAAAAAAAACTTATGAACTATGAAGAAAACAAAAATCATATTGGTAGCTTTAAAATCCTTGATAGATTGCAGGAATGGAGTAAGCAGCGTCGTGTCAATGAAAACTACTACTCCGTATAGCTAACTCCTGTTTTAATACTCCATATACTATCTATATTACTCCGTAATATACGAAGTAGTAAGATTTAGGTAGCAAGACTTTGTGGGCTGGAGGCTTCGCTTCATAGTTCAATATCTAGTCACTTCACTTTTTATGATGTGTATTAGAAAGTCATTTATTTATTTGATATTTGGGCACATTTTATTTAGACTAGAAAGCATTCATTGAAGAAAACATTGCATTGAGGATGCTCTTAGGAATGTCATAAGCCCATAACTTCAATTAAATGCACCCGAACAGTAAAGTTCCTTCTGATTTAACTTTGCGACTTCATGGAATATTCACTACCAAGCAGTCTCCTTGATTTATAATATAAACAATGATTTTTTTTATTATTTTTATTGAAGTTTTGATCATTTGAAACTTGTTTATTTATTTTATAGCCTCCAAGCAAATTAGACCAAAATAAATTTAAAGTAACTAGATATGGAGTACTTTTAACAGAATGACTAGACCAAACTTAGATAATACGTAGTAATAATAAAATCCACGATTTCATATAACAAGTCAGTTCCTTCCCGAATCCCGACCAATAAACTCAAGTCCCAAGAACCGGTCCTTAATTTGTATAGTGATGCTATGTGTTACATTATTAGTATTATTAAAATGTTGCGTTATAAGAATGTATATGTGCTGCGAAGTTCATAAATAATACAGTGTGGTCTGAATGTGAAAATGTGTTCAGAAAAAATCTAGGTCTAACTATTCATTTGTGAAATATGATCGCGTCAACAAACATTCTTTGGTGCACGTGATAGGATTGATGTAGCAGAAACAAACATTTACTCGATAAAGGATGACTCAGCTAGTTCGATAGCACGGGCAAGGGCTGCAGCCTTATTTTCGCACTCTCTCTGCTCATCCCCGGGATCGCTATCAGCAACTATGCCTGCTCCAGCTTGAATATGAGCGACCCACTCTCTCCGTCGGTTTACATCATTGTAGGAGTACATGTGGTCCTGTTGCATTCCCGTTGGAAAAACGATTGTTCTCAAAGCAAGGGCTATATCCATATCACCTGAAAAAGAAATCCCTCCGAATCCACCACCGTATGGCCCACGCCTCGTCACTTCAAGCTCATCTATCAGTTCCATGGCCTTTACCTGTTCACCACAAACCACAATAGAGGAAGGTTACATGAATGTCTAGAGGTTTCAGCAACAATGGTTTTTCTATTCAAATAATAGTAAAACATACAAATAATCATTATCACAATTGGAGTTCATTGTTTCTATTAGAATATTAGTTTAAGCCTTACACAGTAGTTAAACATTTGAAAGTAAAATTTATTTTTACTCCCTCTATCCCGAAATATTCTTATTGTTTGGGTTTGACACATTGTGTATGAGGACCGAATGTTTTTAAAAGGTTATACTTGTAATTGAATTGTACATTTATGATGATCTATTATATTTGTACAACTACAAAAAATGAAATAATTGAATCAGAAGAAATAGCAAGGAACATGTAAAATTATTAAAATTCAGGTATAGTAAAACCTTTGGGGCTCCACTAACTGTTCCAACAGGCAATGCTGCACGCAAAGCATCCCAACTACTTAAGCGGTCGAGAAGCTCTCCAGTGACCTGCAAATTGGCAGCGAGACATAAAAATTAACAATAAGGCAAAGGTAGTAAGCAGTTCCACAAATCTAAATCATCGCGAGCTTATTGATTTTATGTCAGATTTAGAGGCCTAAATTCCAACAAAGAATGCAAATATCAGACAGAAAAAACTAACCGTGGAACTGATGTGCATAACATGGGAATATCGTTCGATGTTCATGAGTTTCTCAACTTCAACTGTCCCAAATTTAGAAACCTGTTGGGAGAAGCTTAGATTAGTGAAAGTGTAACAGCAAGGGAAGAAAAATATATGAAGCACTCTAAATAAAACATCAGGATGGAGCTGAACAACACTGTTTCTATGCAGTAATTATAGAGTTTAATGCAAATTCCTTCACTAACCTCCATTTTGAGATAACTATGTTAACTTTACTTCAAGTAACACAGCTTTTTTAAAGATGCAAAAGGAACTATCAACTATGCTCACTCTTGCAATAGGATAAGTAGTGTAGAGAAGCTATATTAAAAAAACCTTTAGGATTTTGGATCAACCCTGCCCCCTCCCTTCAACCCATCATCTTCGACAATTTGCAAAACTCAATCAAATGAAATGTGTTTGTACTCCAATGGAAATTTGAAGTTCTCAAATCAATCAGTTTTAACTTTTCAGATGAAATATAAAGATGAGCATAAAGTGAATATTATTATGAGCATCTAGATGCATGATTGAAAATATAGGTGTGACTTTTTTTGATACATTTAATTAAAAGGGAGCCTTGGCACACCGGTAAGATGTTGCTGTGTGACCGAGGCCACAGTTTCAAGACTTGGGAGCAGCCTCTTGTTGAAATTTGATAGGGGAAGGCTTGCCCCTTATACACCCTAGTGGTGGGACTCTTCCCCGGACCCTCGCCATGTGGGGATGCCTTCGTGCACTGGGCTGCCCTTTTTTATATGGATATTATTATTAAACATATATTAATCTTAGAACTGGCATCAAGAAAATGACAAAACTGATGTTTCTCGATATAGAATGAAATAAAACACACTTAGAAAGAACAGGACCTTTCCCACGTCATTCCTTCCCAAGTCAACCAGCATGGTGTGCTCTGCACACTGTTTTTTATCATGCAGAAGTTGATTTTCCAGCATGTAGTCTTCTTTAGGTGTCTTCCCTCTCCTGATTGTCCCTGCTAGTGGCCGATTGGTGATTTTTCCCTACACAATGATGGTGAGGTTACCAAGTGAGCTTCCATAGAGGAAAGGAAATACGATATTAAATGTGTAGCTGAAAGCGTGAATCAAAGTGGGGGCATCTCTATGTAAATCCCACAAAGAAAATGAGAATTGTTGATTTTTATAGAAGTGGTTTGGACAGTTTACCTTCTTGACTCTAGTAAGAATCTCAGGACTTGAAGCAACAAGTATACACCCCCTAGCCTGAAAAATACAACTATAACTTTTCAGTAAACTTTTTTAGAATAGGCTTAAGAGACAATATCTGCTTTACCAAAAAAGGAACATACAAACCTGTAAATAACTCATGTATGGACTTGGATTAACAACTCTCAATGCCCTATATATCTCAAATGGATCTGCAAACGTTCTCCTTTCAAACCTTTGACTGAGAACTATCTGGAAAATATCCCCCGCCAGGATGTGCTCTTTAGCTTTCAAAACAGCTTCCTGGTAATCTTCACTAGTCATGGTTGACATTTTCAGCGCTGAACCAAACAGGTTTGTACGTAATTTTATTGATCCTGGAGCTAATCTAGGACTGAAATTCAATATTTTGTCAAGTACTTCGATTACCATTGAAAAAAGTAAAAGGTACTAATATGCCTTTTCAAAGCAATATTTGTAACTTACGGTACTATGTTGAGCACTCTCGACAACAAAGCTTCTAAACGGCTCATGCCATCATTAAATGCTTCATCAACTGAAGCAAAGCGATCTAATTGCACCCAGTGTATGACACACGCTTTCTGATATGTAATGATAACATCTCAGTATTTCAATGCAAATGCACTAGAGGGAAATTCACTCACTAAAGCATGATCATTTACTACAGACTAAATTATCACAATACTTAAGATGTAATATACTAATAAAAAACTAACAGCATTTAGAATATAGGAAATATAAGAAGCAAAGTTCCATGCTAAAGTAATTCTAAACCAAGGGAAGTAGCACTTTGGCAAGATTATATTGAATAGCATATATCCCCCCGGTCCCATAAAAGTTGGCGAACGTTTGACTTGCACCTAGAAATCTAGAATGACAAAGTAAAAATTGTGTTGAAGAAATTTGTGTACAAAAGAGAGAAATAATGTTAACCCCAAATTTGTAATTTTAAAAGGAAATGACAAAGCTTTTGGGGCCGGAAGACTAAATAAGGAAATCTGGCAAAGCTTTATGGAGTATAAAAAATAAAGCACAAATTTGGAAAAAAGTAGTTTCTTTAAAAATGATATAACCTTTTCTACATGATCAAATACAACAACATCATCATAGAGGCCAATGTGAAGATCGGGAAGGAACCGGTCATTTAATGGTCCATTTGAGAAAGGCAATTTCTTCTTCTCAACAAAACGCACTGTATCATAGGAGAAGTAGCCAACCCAACCACCTGTTAAAGAAAGAACGTGACATCAATAACGGCAAAGCACTGATCATGCTGAGATTCTCAATACAAGTTGTGTGTCTCGTAACCTCAATAGCATAAAGCTAAACTAGATTTCCAGTTTCAAACAAATGCAATGTACATCAGATATATGTTTTGCAAAATAAGAAAAAACAAAATCATGTGCATATTGAAAAAAGAAAACAATGCCAAGTCAATAACTGTCAAAAAATTAAGAGTGCCTTATAAAAGGAAAAACGAATAGTCATTTATATTAAGGTCAACACTTCGTGTTAATGCCAAATATTTCAATGTATGGAATTTCAGTATACAGGAAATTAAATGGTTATGAAAACAACACATTAAAATAAATGACAATAAAAGAAGATGAAAGTTCAAAATGATTAGGAACCTAATCAAAAGGATATTACTAAATACAACGAAACACAGAAGCTATCAATTAATGAAGGCACCAAACTGCATATAACTCGATAGGAAGGTCGGCAATCAAGACTTTCAAAGATAATGGACATGGGAATATATGAGTTGATCAAATTATAATGTCCTCGATTCCTCTCCAAGTATTCTGGAGAAATAAATAATGACTGAACCTATGAAACAAATAAATAATGCACTACCAGTAAATGCCTCAGGAAGCTCATCAAGACATTGAGGTTTCCACTTCTCCATAATCCTCCTAGGAATGACCATAGGATCCTCCTCGAATGTCTCTGTCTTTTTCCCCACATGGTGGTCCATAACTGTCACAAGGTTTTCTCTTGCAACAATCTCCATAGTAGGTTGAGCACCAATAACACTGTACCGCCCCTAAGATATGAATTTTACATTAGAAAAGAAAAAACAGCTGCTTTCCCACAAATTTCAGGAAACAGAAGACTGAGACAGCTTACAATACTTGTAACTTTCCCCCTTTCGACAGACTCGAACAAGAAGCTTGGAGCTTCCCTGTCATCTTCCTTCACCAAACACCTGTATGCCAGCACAGGTGTCAGGTGATCGGAAAATATTGACCTGTAGAGTGGAATCAAATTCCCATTTCGTGCAGCTTCTTTGAACTGTAAGGATTGGCCGGCTGCAGAACTCGCAGCATATCAAACAGATCAAATTTCACAAAATTATTACAAAATAGAATAAGTAAAAATGTAGAAGAATACCGAATGATGGATGCGTGGAGCATTTTACAGAACAATTGCGCGGTGCAGAGTTGGAGGTCTTAGTAGCGAAACGGTCTCTTATGGCGGGGGAAGGCGGGAGGTACGAGAGGGCTATGGTTTCCATGTCAGACGGTCTCTTTGTGCGAAACCCAGCTCTGCAAGGAAATTTACCAGAGAAATAAGGACTTATCTTGGTGACGGCCGGACAAAGGCTATGTTTGGCTGACATATAGTTTTGGCTTTTGTACTATTTAAAAAGTCTTTAAAAGTTGTCAGTTGTTTGCTTGGCACGCCAATTTTTAAGAGCTTTTAAAAAAATAAAAGCTCTTTTTTGAGATGCTACAGGTAGTAGCATCTGAGAAAAGTCTGTGACTTTTAGCTTTAATAAATCCTAACAGCTTGTATGCCAAACAGAACTAAATCAAACAGTCAGCTTTTTACCAAACAGCTACCACCTTTTACTTTTAAGATCTTTTCAGTCATTAAAAGCTAACAGTTACTAAAAAGCTCACAAAAAGATCTTTTCAGCTAATTGTACCAAACATAGCCAAAATCTTATATAAAGACTTAGGGGGTGTTTGGATCTGATTCTCAAAACTGATTATGCTCCTTCAGGGAGCAGAAGCAGAAGCTGGAGTGTTTGGGTGAAATTCCAGAAGCACTTCTGGTGCTCTAATTTACTCTCAGAATCAGTTTTTTTATAAGCTGAGGGGTACCAGCTTCTGAAAACTGATTCTGCTTCTGCTTTAAAAAAGAAGCAAAAGCAGAATCAGTTCCAAACACCCCTATTCGATATTCGATTGGTGACGGTCGGACAAAACCTTATAGAAACACTTATTCCATCTTGCATGGTGTCTAATCTACAAGTCTAGAGTGATCTTACTTTGAACTTTTTGTGCATAGTACACTGCCGAATCTAAAAAGTTGGTTATAGGGGGGCATATGTAAAAATAACAAAAGTGTAGAACATGAACATTAATTGGACACAATTATCTAACTTAATTAACCTCGATTATGTGATACGGTGTATTTCTTTTACATAATATAAGTAGCGATTTTAAACTGTTTTTATATCTGTTTGCATATTACTATTATTAAGAAAAGTGAGGTTGTGTGGTTGATATTAAATTGATAAAGTAAGAAAATAAAGTAAAAATGGTTTAGAGCCATACAATCTTTACCAAATTTGGTATGAGACAATCTTAGTGAGACTTTTCGAAAAGGTAAAATGGGACAATCTTAGCGGGACGGAGGGAGTATTATTTACTATAAAAAAGTGTTTACGTATTTCACAATTGATTGATGAGACTGTAAACACGATTTCACCTATTTTGTACCTTATGGTTAAGTGGTGTACATTAGATGTTTTTAATTAAATTAGTTCCAATCCCAGATCAAATTGAAACACACTAAGGGAGTGTTTGTCATTGTTTGTGCTTTTTAAAAGTGATTTTTTAAAGAGATTATTGGAAAAGTGATTTAAAGTAAAAATAGATAATGTTTAGAAATAAAAGTGATTTTTATTAAAATATAAAAATTGGGGTGTTTAATAAAAAAGTAATTTTTTGGGATTTTTGTGGGAGTAGATTGTAGAAGTACAAAGTTACCCTTCCTAATTAAATATCCGTGTCTTTCCTCAGCCTTTCCTTTCATCGCAGCAAGCATTCTCTGTGTTCAACCCGCGAGTTCCATGCCTGTCAAACCGATCCTTGAGTTTCAGCAAAAATTTCTCATTATCTCTTCCTCGAACTTCTAATAACCTCTCATCAAGGATTTTTTTCTTTTCTTCATATCCAATGTTTTTTATATCAATTTCACAAGTCTCACCTCTTAACCCAGTCACTAATCCCTTCTTTAGGCGATCAAAGGTGGGAACTTTCTGGAGCGCAGCCCACTTTAAAGCTCTAAATCCTTGTTTTGTACTTGCACCGAATCTAAGGTAGAAGAGGAAAGGAACAAGTAGCGGATGAATTTCTTATGCGTTGAGTCAGGTGGCGAGTAGATCCCAACCCAGTCAAGCTTGGACGGAGATTCAATGCCGGACCATCAGAATATCTGATCGTTATTGGGTTGCTGAAGTACGATTGTAATTTTCAGGGTATTTTGGGTTTGGGATGAATTTTGTTGTCATTATAATAATTATCCAAAAAGTTTGACTTATTTACAACGGAAATTGTCCAAAATAGGACTAATGAGTTCCTAAAAAGCACAAATAGGACTACTACTTTTAAAATTCCCTAAATAGGACTAAACATTGATTTTCTACCTTAAATACCCCTTAGAGTATTAATTCGTAATAAAAATCATTAAAATCATAATAAAAATCATAAAAAACGTAAAAAATATTTTAAAAACGTTAAAAAAATTATAAAAAATTTATAAAACATTTATAAAATAAAAAAAATTAATTTTTTATTTTTTTGATTTTTTTAAAAAAATAATAAAAAATAGTAAAAACCCATAAAAAATGAAAAAAATTATGGATACCTTTCCCACCGCCTCCCGCCGCCTCCCAGCCCCACCACCTCCGATTGGTGAAATTTCTTCCACTTTTGGTAAAAAAAATGCCATATTTTTCTAAAAATGTCAAAAAGATGGCATAATTACTCTTCAATATGCCAACATTTTCATTGAATATGCCATCATTATGGCATTATTTAAAATGTTGGCTTATTTTTCTCCGGTGATGGGAGCTGGTGGTGCTGGGGGTGGCAGGGGTGGTAATGTTTTTTTTTTTAATTTTATGATTTTCTTTTTATTTTTTTTATTTATTTTTTAAAAATATATATTTTTTTAAATATTTTTTTTAATTTTCTATTATTTGTTTTACGATTTTTAGTATTTTTTTCGATTTTTATTAATTTTTTTATGATTTTATTATTAATTAAAACATTTTACAAGTTACAAGGGTATATTTGTCCAAACACACATAAATAGTCCTATTAAGGGAATTTAAAAAAATGTAGTCCTATTTGTGCAATTTTGCCACTTTTTAGTCCTATTTAGGGAATTGACTCTTACAACAATACCTAGACGCACTTAGAAGTTGGTATATCCCAGCTAGTGATGGCAACGGGGCGGATCGGGGACGGGTACACATAAAACCGAAACCGCCCTGTTGGATAAATGTTTGCCCCAAAACCGTTCCATTACCTGTTCGAGTAATTTTTATTTGAATCGTACTCGCCCCAACGGGGAATCGGTTTATCCACGAGTAACCGTTTCCCCAAATGATACCAAATAATCATTTTTTTTTGGAATACAAATAACCAATTTTTAAGTCTACTTGTTATTTTTCTTCAAAAAAAATTCTACTTGTTATTTATATATTCAAAGCACCCTAAAACATACAAAAGTAAACATTTAAGCAATCAAGCAGACTGGCCTAAACTCATTAGTATGACATGCACCCAATATCTCTTGTAACATAATAAAAAAGTAGTAATCTTCCCAGAATTCAAATTCCAAAAACAGGTTTAGGCCTGTATTTAGTTTTAGGCCTAAAAAAGTAATATACTTTTTAGCATTATTTATATGATATATACTATCTAGTATACACAATTTAGCATATATACTTATTATTCTTATATATATAAAGTTATAATTCATTAATAATGTTACGGATCGGGTAACGGTGCGGATACCCGCACTATTAGTGAACGGGGCGGTTTCGGGGCGGATAACGGGGCGGATTAGTATAGAACCATAACCGCACCATTAACCATTTAAAAAATCGGGTATTCTCCGCCCCATATCCATTCCCCAGTCAAACCAGTTTTCCCCAATTTGACCAAATCGGTTTGGTGCGGGTATCCAACGGGTCGGCCGAAATTGCCATCTCTAATCCCAGCTTCTAGCTTTTGACTTTAAAGTACTTTTTTAATCAGAAATTGTTGTTAGCAAACACGTTTTCTAGCTTTTTTAATCTAAAAGCTTAGAAGCACTTATTTTAAGCAATAGCAAACACTGCTTAAACCGTACTTCAAAAGTTGTAAAATGCACACACCCTACACCTACTAGACCATACTAAATCAATTAAGACCAGACCACATATTGTTATAAAACTAGCTAGACACTAGTCGGGCGGTTAAAAGGGGCTAGCTTTTAGGCGGCCGACTAAGCTCATTTTTTTGCTGATTAGGTCGATTTTTTGACCGACTAGGCCAGTTTAATGTTCTCACTTTTTTTTTTTGAATGTCCCAATCAAAGATCGAAAGAATTGCAAAAATATTACTTCTAGGATTTTAATAGACAAAAATATGACCATTTTATAGAAAGACAAAAAGTGACCATTTAATTTAAAAAAGTACTGTTTCTCGCCTACCTATTTCCAAGCCTCCTCTATTTTCAAGCCTCGTCCTCCGTCTTCAAACTCCACCTAGATCCATCAGCATCGTCTCTATGTGAGGTCGCAACTCCTCCTCCAGGTCATGTCGCAGCTCCTCCTCCAGGTCACGTCGCTCCGCCATTGCCGTCGCGACGCGAGGTTGCTTTGCCAAACCGCATTGCTGCCGCCATGTGGGCAAAAAATAATAATAAGTCATGTTTGGATATTAGATATTGCATCCGCAACTGAAGTGGTAAGCTAACATCTAAAAATGGAGCATGTAAGAGTTAGTATACATTACGTACGTATAGCAGCTTTGTACGTATTATTATTACACGGAGTATGATTACGATTCAGTGCGATTCAACAAATGTTTGAGTTTAGTTACTATCACTACAAAAAGTCAAAAATCGACGCAAATAAACTATTTGCGTCGACATGTGGACGCAAATGGGTTGACGCAAATACCTCGATGCAAAAACATTATTTGCGTCGACATTGGGTCGACGCAAATAATATTTATCTTTTGTGTCAACTTTGTCAACGCAAAAACGCCATTTCGGGAAAAAATACCAACCACCATTTGCGTCGACACGTCGACGCTAATAATGGTATATATGTTTTAAAAAAATTATTATATGAAAAATACACCAACATAAGATCCTTAAAAATGCAAAATACATCAACACAAGATCCTTAAATATGCAAAATACATCAACTAAGTTTTCATATTACTAACACATACTTTTAAATAAAGAACAATCATCACTGTCAAATAATTTTGCAAAAATCAATAACCTAATGAATCAAATAACTTTGAAGGCTCCCCACTCCCTTTCTATGATTTCTGCTTATAGTCAGTGTCATCTTGTCATCAATTTGCTATGAACTTGTACCACCTTTAATTTCCTGAAACTCTAAAAAAACAAAGAAAAAATAACTACTGAAAATAAATTGACCAAGTAATAGTAAATAAACACATTAACTAAATAATAATAACAAATGTGAAATCAACAATACATCGTTCATCAAAGTATCACTTTATTAAAGGAAATAAATATACCAAATACAAATTAAAATGAAGTTTGTAAGTGGTTACGTTGTAGGTTCACTTCATCAATCGAATAAACATTATTACATGGTGGATTGTGAAATTTGAAAATAATGTGCCACACGGACAACTCCCACATAAAAGATTTCATCCATAAGGACATCCCCAATCATAAGTTACTCAGTTTTTTAGAAAGGTAGAAATACACCTAAAAAAATATTACATTCTAAGGCCGTTAAAACAGAATTTAGAAGGCTGTAGATTTAACTCAACTATCACGAATAATCAAAATAGAAAATGAAACAGAAAATACATAATTACAACTGAATTGAACCAAGCAAGGTAGGGGAATTACTGGATTGAAAATCTCGGAGTACAAGAGCCAGAAGTTCCTTTGGAAACAATTGCAGCTCTTTGCCAGATTACTTCTCCGAAAGTAGCGCTTTCTCATATGTCAAGCAATTATTTCTAGACAGTTTGCAAGACCATATCTTTTGTTGGTACATATTAATCCACTTCAAATAATCAATACAATTAAAAAAATCCATTCAACTTGCTAACCAGCACCTGCAAATAAAATAGATACCAAATTTGCAAAACAAATCAGAACATTGAGCAATTTCTGAAGACTTGTGGGAGAAAGTAGTCAAAACTTCTAAAGTAAATTCCCTGAACTAAGCTAAACCGCATAATGTAAACGTATTCCTTCCAGTTAATGAAAATACTCCATAAATAGGTGAAATCTCCAAGTTCAGAAAAGCCTGCTTTTTCACCAGCCTACAACAGAGCTAAACCGATTGCACTCCAGATGTTATCACATAGAATTCCAACACTCTGCATAGCTTTGCACCTCTTGAAATAAATCATGAAACGAAACTATCATTTCCACATTTAAACAGGATAGGAAGATGATGAATGTGTAGAAATTGGAAGAGAAAATATGTCAAATAGGAACATAACAAATAAAATAAACACATACCAAATAGGGATTCAAGTAGTAACTAAAAATCCTGAAATCCTCAAATAAAAAATAGAAATATCACCGGAAAACTGAGCGACGTAGCTGTAGCGTGTCGCCATCTCCGTCGCGTGTGAGATGTCTTCCCGGTCTGCCAGGAGGATTAGTTGGTTCCCGGCGTAACTTGTCGGAAACAGAGAACGAACTGAAACGTCTCGGAGATGTGTTCCTCTTTAGCAATCCACCACTGATATCCACCTGAGATTGTCGTCTTCTCCTCTCCGGTCTCCCTCCACTTTATCTCATAGGCCGTCGTTTCTCTTGGGAGGGCTAGGGTTTTTTCCTGTCAAGTTGAAACTCAGAGGCTCTGTAAAAGATTAAAAGCCTTTAACATTAGCGTCAACACAAATAATAGCCCCCGATATACGGAGTATTTTTTAAGCTGTTTTTTGCGTCCGCTTGTCAACGCAAAAAGCAGATTATTTGGGTCGACGTAGTTGACGCGAAAATATTGGACGCAAAACACTCTTTTTCTTGTTGTGTATACGAAATATAAAATACTCTACCCCTCACTACTAATAAAGTTGAGAGGCGGTTTTGTGACACTCAAATAATTAGTTGAACCACGGATCTATTTAAATTGATGAAATGTTGGTTGAAATAACTGTATTGACTTAATATGTTGAATTATAGAAAAATTATATTTAAGTATTTTATTAATAAAATAAAGAAAAATATATGAAAAATTAGTGTCACGCCCCGGACCTATCCGGACACGTCAACAATCCGCCGTACAGTACGACTAGTCAACCGCAGTCCAACACATTCATACTATACAAGGCGTCTGGGATATCATTCACACATAGTACATCCATAACCAAACATAATGTAAAATATTCATTCAAAGTAGCGGAAACATTTAATACAAGTGTTCGTGCCACACTTTGGCAAACATGGGCATACAAGCCCCCAAATGATTATTCAAAATGTAATATCCATGAGCATTAATTTAAATGTTTTTAAAACAGGAACGGAGGAAGCACGAACCACGTCTTCCTTCCTTGAATTCACCCGGAGAAACGGACACTGGTAGCAAGCTCAGCTCCTACCTGAAACTGTGAGGTGGCCTCCCCCGTGAAGGGGAGGTCAGTACTTGGAAGCATTTGACAAGTACAATGACAACTATACTAAGTATAATCAATGTTTCAATTTCCAAGACCCTCAATCTAGGGTGTTATTATCTCATGATTAACTTTATTCGTTTAGTGTCATTTCATCATTTCTTACCACGGTCTAGAGCCCAGCTCAATAATCACCGTTACCTACTACGGTCTAGAGCCCAACTCAATAATCACCGTCATCTACATCGGTCTAGAGCCCAGCTCAATAATCACCGATAACTACTACGGTCTAGAGCCCAGCTCAATAATCACCGTTATCTACATCGGTCTAGAGCCCAGCTCAATAATCACCGATAACTATTACGGTCTAGAGCCCAGCTCAATAATCACTGTTATCTACATCGGTCTAGAGCCCAGCTCAATAATCACCGATTCTTCACAATTTAATTTCTTAGGATCCATTCATCCATTATTCAACTACAATTCCAACTAATATTTCAATACTAGTTATTTACTCATTTCAATGTAACTCTTCATTTAATATGTAGTTTGACCTTAATATCAAAATATCACTTTTATTCTTTCATGGCTTCTTCTCATGAATTAAAAGCATACTTATCACAAATGAAATTTATGGTTGATACTACTATCATACCATCATATTCATAACCTATAAACATACACAATTTATTCACTAAATTTGTATATTATGCAAACTATACTTATAATCAATAATAATTTCATTTAGGCATTTATAACCATTAATAATCCATGCAAATCACATTGTGTATTCATTTAGGAAATCTTATGAAATTAACCCAAAGATTATAAGCAATATAGTCAGTCATCCTCACCTTAAGCGAGTTTAAGCGCGTTCTACGCTTCCCGGTTGAACTTTGACTAACTTTGACCAACTCCGGCAAACTTTGACCAACTCCGGCGAAACTCCGGCGAAGCTCAAAGGTACTCTAAATCAAGTTCCTAACAAGGTTTTAACATCATAAAACCTTAATCAATACACATAACCTCTAAAAGGTTATTTTCCGGTGAACTTGTCGGTTTGGGTTCTAAATCCATTTTTTGACATAGAACCACCTTCCAACCCCTTGTTCCACATTTATCAACATGTAGAACAATCCTAGGGTTCTTCATAATTCCTCAAATAATAATATATTCAAGAAAATAGGAGAAGAAGGTAAACGAAGTCATTACCTAGCCTTTCCTCAAGTTTTGTACACTTTTGGAACTTAAACTTTTTCCTAGAGCTTCCTTCTTGTTGGAGCTTTCTTCAACAATGGAGAGGGAAGGTGGAGGGTTTCCTTGCTCTTGCTGGATGGGTGTTGGCCGAAATGATCAAGGGACAAGGGGGGTGGGTATTACTTTTGTCTCAAATGTATGAGTGGTGTGGGAGAGGCCCACCTTAAACTTGTTTGATTCTTGTCCAATCAGCTCCCACTCCCTCCATACTCCTCCAGCCGACCAACCCCCTTAATTAAGTGTCCAAATTCGTGGGTTGGCCCCCACCCATGTGGGAGGTCAACCCTTTTTGTCCAGAAGTGTACACTTTGTCCCGAAAGTTGTATTTTTCGGACTGTTTTAATTATATTTTTATTTTATCGGGTCAAATAAAATATATTATGTGTTCTCAATCATTATGACCCTTATAATGAATATTTCCCAATTTTAATTTATAGGTCTCCGAAATCCAATTTCGGGCTGTTATCCGTTAAATTACCAATACCGGTAATTGAGCCGCTTTTGACCAATCGGTCCACATTATGTCATTCCCTTGGACCGAATAAATATTCCACCTCTATATAAATATTATTTCGACCAAGTTGAATAAAATATACGGTCTCGGGAATATCGGACGGCCCCGCTCCCGGTGTGGGTCCCACGTGCGAAATTACTATTCACGCAAAAGAACATTTTAACAATTCACAACTTCGTATACTCGTTAACCATTCCATAAGGTTCAACACATTATACTCTTAACAGTAAATACATTTGGGGACGGTGTTACAATTAGTGTAAGTGATCAACCACATTAATTTCAATCAATCCAGTAGAAAAGGTGACTTAAATCTTATTTATTTGATTATTACTCTCCGTCCTGGATAGAACTTGGTGTTTATTTTTGGCACGGTATGTTAGGAGGTCAATTAATAGAAGAACAAATGTCTTGCATGCCCTTTGAATTTTTTGGGGGAATTAATGATATCCACTCAAATGTAAAAAGTGAATGGACAGTGAAGGATAGTTAAGACATTTAATGTAAAAGGAGTTGCCTAAAAAGGAAACACAAAAGAGTAAATGGGACGTTCCAAAAAGGAAAGTGTAAAGATTTAAATGGAACGGAAGGAGTATAAAATTAAGAGCGGGAAATCAATAGTTATGTGTTTAGAAAAAATTGACTGAAAAGACAAATAAACTTATAACAGATCAGATGTTATCAATCTGAGGGGCCGTTTACTTTCGACTTAATGGTCTGAATGGAAACAATGACTTATTCGGTCAGCCATATACCCTTGTTTACTTGGGACTTAATTTATAACTTGACTTATTCGTTCAGACCATTTTTGACTTAATAGTTCAGCCAAAATTCAACACTCCTTACGATTCAGACATACATATGTATCGACTCTCTCTTTTTTAACCCTCATTCCTTTCGCTAAAACCCTCTTCTTCGCTAACCTGTTACGGCCGCCAATTGAAGAGCTGCGCATAGTCCATTGCCGGTCGCAGCAACTGCACGTTCATCTCCATCTCTTCGGCTCTCATCCCTCACCTTCTCCATAGCGGTATTTCCTTTAATCTTTGGCTTTAATATTTTCTCTGTTTTGTTTTCAATTTCTCCTAATAAGAGTTCTTCCTTGTTCTCTATCATACTCTTCACTACCTAAGCTACAGTGAAGTTTCGAATTTCTGGGGTAATTTCATATGCCATATTGTTAAATTTCAAGTTTGATGTTGGATGGTTTGATATTAGGGATTTATAACTCAAACTCTTATTTTTGGATGAAATAACTCTAATTCTGTTATTTTTTGGTAAGGTACAACAACTGTAATAAAGTAGACTCATGAAGTAGGCTATATTGCAGGGAACAACTTATTAAACAATTAGGTCTTAATTTACATGAACCATTACCTTTTTACTTTTGATATGGAGTTCTAGCTGAAACTTTTTTCTTTACATTTTCTTCCTTTTCATTCGGCCTTTTGGCAACAGGAAACCAGTAAAAGCAAAAAGCCATTAATTTAGACCAGATTATCTTTGGTCTTTGGTATGGGTGTTGGTGGTGAAGTTCAGGTCGGTTGAATTATTAAAATATCCCCATCAAAAACCAATCTGAGTTATTTGGGCTTAGTTTTGGTTTTGTTGGGTTTCTTCTGTTTTTGAAGCAAAATAAACCCCGAGACTGAACCTCCTACTGTTAGATTGGTTTTGGTCAATTGTGGGTTTAAGGATTTATATAACTGACAACAAAGTCAACTAATTTTTGTCCAACAATGATATCCCATATAAATATATAGGGAAAATATAAGTTCATAATATGAAAATTGATTGTCTAAAAAACGTTCCATTTATAAATATTATACTGAGCAAAGGTAGGCATACTGGGGAGGGTTCATTTCTAGTTGCATGTGCGAGTAAAAATGATTGAAGTGTAAAGGCAGTTCATGCTTGCTCACAAGGTACATGTTGGTCCTTGTCATAGGGTGTTTAGTATTCCAGTGTTTTGCTTTCAACTTACCATAGGGTGTTTCTCTTTTGGGATCTTTACCCGTTCTGAGCTGATGTGTTGTTTCATACTATGTGAATTGAGATTAAACTCTGATTTTTTTTAAAAATTATTACTTTGAATTCATTAGCTTTTACATGTGCTTCCATGCCCTTTCACCGTTATATATACAACTCAATTGTGATGATAATGGCCAATAAAGTTTCATAACTTACTTGTAATATGTTCTACGGTTGTAAATGGCTTTGTAATAATTCCATTTTTGACAGCTTGTGAAGTTTTTTGTGTTATTTTGTATGCAATATGTAGGCAGTTTTTTCTTAAATAAGTAGGCTGATTTTTTTGCACTTGTTTATCCGATAAGTTAACTATCTATTATCACTCTTTGAATTATTGGGACACACATATTTCATTCTTTAGGTATGGAACACGCCGGTGAATCAGAAAAGCAAAAAAAATGTAGGATAAGTTGGAAAAATATGAACGTGGTGAAAACGTTTCTTGAGACCTGTATCCATGAGATTTCCGTAAACGGGCGGGAAGGTAGTAGTCTGAAAGCACTTTCTTGGAAGAAAGTTGCTGACGTTTTGAATGGGACTCATAAGTTTTCTGTTGATCGAAAGCAAATGAAAAATCATTATGATTATCTTAAAGGAAAATATGGAGCCTGGTTACTGCTCAAAAATAAAACAGGCAATGTGTATGATCCGTCCACCAACACATTTAATCTTACGCCCGAGGAATGGGAGGTTGAAATTAAGGTAATATTTGCCTAATGGACACCTCTATTTATTTTGTTGTTAATTTCTTTCCTATATGGCTATACTTTACATATTTTTTTAACACAGAAAAATAAGTACATTGAAACTTTGAGGACTACATCGCTTCCATTCCCTGAACTTTGTGCACAACTATTTGATGGGTCTGTTGCAACGGGCGTTGAGAGTTGGGGACCCACTTCAACTGAACCTATGCCACATGGACATACTTCATCTGATGGTCCAATTGTGGTTGAAGAAGAAGTGGAGTTTGAAGGTGCACAAGATATGTCTACATCAACCGGTCAATGTTCGAAATCAAAAAAACTCAAAACTAAGGGCAAACAAGCAAATTCAGCCATTGATGAAGAAGTTTTGACTGTGATTCGCTTAGTTGCTTCAAAACATGCGAAGCCCGAAGCACCTTCAAAACCTGAACCACCAACTTTTGATGATTGCATGAACAAACTAAAAATGCTTGGATGGGAAGGAGATGACCCACTCTACGGAGTTGCCCTCGCAATATTTTGTGATCCAAATGATCTTTATCGCGAAGCATGGATGAAAATTGAAGCGGAACTCCTCCCAAATTGGGTCAAAATGATTGGGAAAAAAATAGGATTTATGTAGGTTGTTAGTTCTCGTGCATTTCTTTGAGCGTATTCAGGACTACATTTGGTATTTATGACTCTTGTTTTTTTTTTTGGATGATTTATGACTCTTGTTTGTATTTTTATGGGATGACTAATATATGTTTTTGTGACACTTGCTAGATTTTGTGACATCTAAGAATGCAATGTTTATTTATAAATATCTAATTTGTACTTTTTTGCAAGGTTAATATGGATCTTGAGGCGCAACTTCTAATCCTAATGCTTGTGTATTATTATTTGAGGCGAAAAAATTCTACTCTAAGAATGCCAAGAATAAGAGATAACACTTCTGCATTAACTGGACATGCTTACACACAGGAGTTACTAGATGGTTCTAATACACAATGTGTGGAATTAATGCGTGTCTCTCATGCCGGATATGTACTATTATGCAACCATTTTAGACAAAGAAATTGGTTGAGTGATAGTAAGCATATAAGTGTTGAGGAAAAGATGGCGTTATTTTTGACAACCATCGGAAACAATCAGAGGTTTAGAGTGAACAAAAGGAGATTCCAACACTCTACACGAACCGTTCACAAATGTTTTCATGAAGTTCTACAAGGAATGATGGAATTTGCAAAAGAAATGATAGTACCAACAACGCCTGATTCAGTCCTAAATTTGTCAAACCGGCAAAAACGTTTGAGAGAGATTTTTCCGGTATGTTCTCATTTTACATTTGATTCATAGTTATATTTAAAAAATTATGTATTAAATATTTTCATTATGTTATGAAGGGAGCGATTGGAGCACTAGATGGAACTCTTGTACACGCAATTGTGCCCACTGAAAGGCAAACTATTTATAGAAGAAGAGGAGGGGGTCGGTGTTATCAAAACGTTTTAGGAATTTGTGATTTCAATATGATATTCACTTTTGTTTGGGCTGGTTGGGAAGGAATAGCACATGATTCTCGAGTACTAACGCAAGTTGTATTCAATCCTAATTCCGGCTTTCCACTTCCTCCACAAGGTGTGTATCATTATTTATTCTTTCACTAAATGATTTTAATTAAAATTAAAAAAATTAACACCGAAATTCGTTACAGATAAATATTATCTATGTGATGTTGCGTATGCAAACACTCGTGGATATTAACACCGAAATTCGTTACAGATAAATATTATCTTGAAGATAACTGTGCTTCTAATTGCGCAGTTATTTTCAAGAATTCATTTGAATGTCTTCCCGATTGAAGTTTTAGCTGAAATTTGGTATGAGTAAACTAGACTTGATGAATAAGATACTCAAAAAATTTCATTAAAAAATTCCACCGGGAACCACCCCAAATGGCGACAGCCGGACAGAACCTCCTAAATAAGGGCTTATTTGACCTTTTTTGGTTAGTACATGGGCCTATTTGCACCTTTTCCCTTACTTTTATAAACTGGAATAATATGATTAACATTATTTGAAATATTGATGTTTAAACCCATTCATATTGTTTCAGTGTTTAAAATAGTTTTAAAACAAAAAAAAAACTAAAATCTTGAATCATAGAATAACATAGGTTCATCTTGATGAAATAAACAGTCTATAAAACGATGCAAGTCAGTATGAAATCAAAGATAAATTATAAAAAACTCACTATGTTTAATCAAAAGAAACATGAGTCTTAAACGTTATTAAAGCAAGTAAGATAACAAGTAAACAGAAACAAAGAAATGCTACGAATGGGTATGAATTTATCTATGTATTCCTCTAGCACACCGCTTGCCTATTCCGACTAAGCAGCCCGGTGTGCATAAGCAAAACGAGAACGCCTAAAAGCATTGTGGTTGGTATAGAGAAGGTGAGGGCTTTCCTCACAAGGGAAAAGGGAATGGGATTTCGGTGCAGCCAACACTTTGATACTTTGATGAGCACAGCGATAACCAATTCTAACAAAGGGTTATGTTTATTATGTTTCAAAATATATTACTCTGTACTTGTATAAAGAGGATTGTAAACTTTAGGTTCAGATAAAGACAAAGTATATAGGCTACTCCCAATGCTTTATTCCGTAGTGAAATAGTACACCTTTAGGTCATAAAATAGTAGTGTGATATTCTGATTTAAAATAGTCGTGAATAATTCAGGTTTGAAATGTAATTTTTTGTTAAATAAAAATAATTGTGACAGCCAGAAAATATTCAACGACATAAAAAATGAACAATGTATATTCACAGAGATGAAACGGGAGAGGAGGGGGTGAAACTTTGATGGGGAGGCCACAGGATATACCTAGCAATTAGCAAACGAAGGATGGCCAGAACGTATTGTACCTAGCAAATACGAACCAGAATATTGTGAGGATTAGTCGTCAAAAATTGACAACTAAAAAATAGAAAGTCATCAAAGAATTAATAATGAATAACTAATTGTAAGAGTAGTAGTATAAATGCTACCGGATTTGAGAATAATCGTCCGCAGATTGTGCATCTTTTAGATCTCTGCCTTCGTTTACCAACTGCTTCCTCACCACTCTACAAAATTCGGTTGCATACACATCAATCAATACAAGAGAAGAAACAATATTCAATTAAAAAGGGAAATCTGTATTAGATAAACAACAAATATAATAATAAGCTATATAGATAAGTGTATGTTGACAAGGACGAAACGAAAATGGGCGAGATGTGAAACCTGGAAGACGCTAGGAGACGAAGGATGTCAAGGTTTTGGTTCCTAGCAGACCTAATGTTGTGGTGACGGTGAGTTGTGCGAGGATAGATGGTGAAGTGTAGTACACTCTGGAACTCTCCAGAGCTGCTGTGTGGTAGAGTGAGAGTGAAGTGATGATATCTTCATACTAACCTAGGATTATAGATGGGCTGATTTTATATGGGCTATTGGATGGAGTCCAATTTTATGTTCCGAATACAAATGGACCATTAATTTCCAATTACATTCACACCTATCCTATCCAATTGAATTGAATGAACCTTTAATTTGAATTAATTTACATGGGATCTGAAGGAATTCTTCAAATACGAAAAGAGTTTATAGAATTATTATAGTCCATAAGAAAGATCATATATAAATGCATTTGTTTTTTGGTACATATAAATGCATTTGTAGTCAAGAAGAAAGATCACAAAAAAGGTACTCTGTGGGTTATAATAACCAAAGAATCTTTTGGAAAAATATTTACCTGGTCATGCTTGTTCCATCCCCAGCAGAAGACTTTGTTATCCTCTTCAAAAATGGATGAAAGGATCAGAGCCGGCCCAGGACATGGCTGCCCAGTGCGACCGCATAGGGCCCGGATTTTTGAAGGGCCAAAAAAAAAATTAGCATTACGCCCCAGCCCAAAATCCCTCTGCGTAAATTTAAATATGCTTGAAGAATGTCCTTTTTAAATAAATTGTAAGTTATTAATGACTATTTTTAAGGAAAATGGAAACTAATAATCCAACCTTTTAGCAGTCTTCTTACAATAGTCCCACCTTTTCGTTATTCAAGAATAATCCAATTTTTGCACCTCATCTTCATTCACTGATCTCTGACCGGTTGATGACCTGCTATTTCAAGTTATTTTCTTACCTTTGCAAACTATTATACCATAAATCTCACCTTTCACAAAAAAAAAATTGCAAAGATAACATTATTTGCTTGTCTTGCAACTTGAAAAAAAGGCCCAAATTTTATTCTCGCACAGGGTCTACATTTCTTCGGGACCGGCCCTGGAAAGGATGTAAGACCAAAAGGTTTTGCATATGTAGTTACTTCTACTATTTATTGGTATTTTAGTACCCAGAAATAGGTTTTGTATGGGTGAACCAATGATTTCACATTTGCTCACATGTTAATAATTCACAATGCTTACATGTATATGCTTACTATATTCACAAAACAAATGCTTACATATTCACCAATGATTTCACATTTGCTTACATGTTACATTTGCAATGATTGCAGAACCTTTTCAAGTTTGGAAAATCACATAGCATTGGTTCATTATTGGAGAGACCCTAGTTTTTTTTTTAATTTGGGGCAAATCGAGGTTCATTATTATAAATTTTAAGACAAATTTACACGCTTTTTTTGCCAAACTTTCAATGGGGCCAGACCTAGGTTGACCCTCTATCTATGCCGCTGCTTGGGACGAGACACATGGTCACCCCAGTAGACATAAACACAAACTTGAGTTCTTGAACGATGTGAGAGTCCTCTGACGATCCAGTAGGAATGTTGGACAAGAAGACAGTGAGTCCTCTGACGAACCCTTTTGGATATTAAACAGTATAGGCAGAAGGCCAAGTTTGTCAAAGTCGTGCGCCTGAGCGCTTAAGCGCACCAGTCGCAGCGACAGATAGTTCCAGTGCCCTATGGATGGCCAGTCGCTGTTGGGTGTGTTTCGGAAAATAAACAAAATTAATTAAAATAAAAATGACTAGAGAAAATCAAGAAAGGAGATGAAGCAGAATTAGTCAAAGCTCGTGCTACGCACGATGTCCTTAAAACGTATTTGTTGCCTCCTACGGTGCTAGGAGCGTTGCAACAATAGTTTCCCAGGATATGATGACTACGAACTAATGTTTGAGCACACAAACAAGAGTTCCAGCGAACGTGAACAAAGACTGAACACTCAGGAATTTTCAGAATGACTGGAGGTGTTTTTAGCTGAAGAGATACGTGAGGAATGTGTAAGTTCGTGTAAAATCGTGTGTTGTTGCAAACCACCTGCCAGCCTTTATATAGGAGGATTTGTTGTGTGCAAATGGTGAATTAATGGACCTGAACGTTGGACATCAATGACCAGTCCGTTGGGCATTGAATCGTCCATGAACTGTCCATTTAACGCTGCATTAAAAGATAAGAACGTTGAGCATTTATTGTTGTAACGGTTCAGAAGTGCCACCGGAAGACCTCCCAACAGAACACCCCTGGGAGGGTTTCTGTCCGAACCCGGCAGAACACCCCTAGGAGGGTTTCTGTCCGAAGCCGGCAGAACACCTTAGGAGGGTTTCTGTCGAGGCCTTCGTGTCCGCAGGTCGCCCGCGCACGCAAGTCGCGGTTTTTCTTCTCCGAATTCGGGATTTGATTTGCACCCCCACCCTGCGCGCGTGGAGAGAGCCTTTACCCTTAGGAATCTTAACTCCTTAATAGGGGAGTCCCCTTATAAAGGGTTGCAAATCCCTTGGGTTTTCCGGTGTGGGAAATTAACACACTAGAAACCCATCCTTTTTCCCTTCTAACGGGTAAACTTCGAAAAACAATTTCTCATTCACCCGTTATCCATTTTGAGCGTACCATATATCGAATTGTAGCCCTAAGCAAGGACAATCCGAAACCACTTTGACCCGACCCAAATCGGAAGTGGACCCCACTCAAAAAATTGCCCCAAAATAGCCATTTAATGCAATTTTTCACATATTTTTCCAATAGTCGCACCTTACCTTCTAAGTCGCAGGTAGTCGCACAAAGCGCAGAAGCGCAGATGCGCTTTAAAGCGTTCGCTTAAGTGACAGGGGAGGGCTTATTTCTGGTTTTACTGAGTCCCCTTTCACACGTAATTTCTTGGAGAAAATTAATACGGAGTATCATACTCCGATAACTCGCAAATTATACCGTGGGATCGGCCCACCATGAGCATGGTGTGCCGATCCCAAACGACATAGTTTTATTAAATAAAAAACAACCGACTCTTGTTCGTGAGCAATAATAGCTGGTGCCGCACTGTCGCCGACTTAGTTCTCCCTCTCCCTGGTGTTCGTCTTGACCTGCGAGAGCCAACTTGCCCATTTAATTACTCCGTATTGTGCCAGAAAGGCATGGGAGAATATAGCAGACTCTGGATCTCAAGGCATGGGAGAATATCGCTGGCAAAGGCATGAGTAACTTAGAAGTTTTTTAGGAATCTTCTTAATATATACGTAGTATATTATATTGTATTGGACAATTTATATTTTGATTTGGCTCAAATTACATTTGAAAATACATTCAGTTACATCCTTTTGTTCGTGAATTACATCTCTTTACTCGTGATTTCCATCATTCATGTACGCGAGTTACATTTGGACTCGTCTTAACAAATTACATTTTGCATAAACGTGAGTTACATTTGATATCAATTCGAGTTATATTTTCCATAATATGAGTTACATCACAAAACAAACACTCTTTAATGAAACAAAAGGATCATTTTTTAAAATAATTTTCATTTTGCATAATACGAGTTACACATCTATTAACGTGAGTTATATGTCAACTTGCTTACACGTGATTTGCATTTTGCATAATACGAGTTACACAACACAATAAGCCCCCTTTATTAAAAGAAAAATAATTTTCATAAAGAATCTTTTTTTATAGCACAGATATTAAAAACAAGACATATGCACTATTTATGTTACATTGTTGGGCAATTAGACTTTTTTTTCATTGAAATCAACATTTTATTTCTTATGTTATGTATTCAACTAGTTACATTTCGACTAGACTTGAGTTACATTCATCAATAATGTGAGTTACTATACATTTCTTTACACATGCACTACACCATATATGGCCTATAACAACACTAATTTAAAGTGTTGCTCCAAAATTTTGGGTAAAGGCTACGGTTAAGTGAGTGTAAGACATCATTAAATAATAAGTGTTGCCATAGAGATATTCACAAGTTGTAAGTGTGAAAAATAATCTAAAGCGACAATTCTTTTCTAATAAATGTTGCACTAGAGTGTGTAGAGCTGAACAATAGTCGTAATAGAGGCTATTGCTGGTAACATTAAAAAAAGTTACCATATATTAAAATGAGAACATTTTAATAAAATCTAAAAAGTCAACACCATATATTTAATATGTTTTAAATTAAAGTTAATTATATAAAAATAATAAAACCAAGGAGTAATATGCACATGTTCAAACCATTTAGAATATTTTTATTTGGACTTATTTCAGTCGCAAACTAGACTAGATCAGACCATACTGTACCAGTTCAAACCAGACCAGATCAGATCAAACTTTGATAGTTGTATACTATACAGAGACCAAATATTTATGAGACCAGACCAGACCAGAAAATTTTAGTCCTAATAAAAATATTCTTAATGATGTTCTTACTTGAACTCAATTTTTCTTATCTAGTCTGGTTTGATCTGTTTTGATTTGATCTGGTCTGGTCTTAACTGGTACAGTATGATGTAGTATGAACTCAGTTTTTACTTGGAGTAAATGAAATTATTTTTTAAAACTGTGGTTTTTTTCTTAAACATTTTCACTTAATTAACCTTTTCATTTTTAGGCAATTTGGGTCTTAACAAAAAAAGTGGAGGGAAATCAATTCTTTTTGGGATTTTCCCCCGCTCTCTCAATCTTTCCCTCTAAAGTTAGTACTTTTCCCTGAAAATTTGTCCTTAGCCATCTTTCTCTTGACTTTCAACTATCCTCTAAATTTCTCTTCGGCCGCCAACATGGGTTTGCTATTTCCTCTTACGGCAACAATCTACCGTCCTCTTAGTAGCTAGAATCTGCAGCTTCGCCTTCTATCTCGTGCCTAGGTACATCAAGATTCTTCTATTCCATTGACTCCGATTCACACAACAAGCAAGGTTAGGGTTATGAAAATTTTGCAAAACGTCATATGCTAATTTGTTCAATCTTTACTCTTAGTGATAAATTTGAGGTTTCTTTTTACGTTTTCATTTCAGTTTTTGTTTTTATTTTATTTTTTAATATATCAAAGTTATTTGACTTGGAATGGTTATGTGACTATACTTTTTCATGTTTGGTGGCCGGAGCACATACCAGGATACGCATTTAGTTGTTAGGGGTGACTTTGAGGATTGATTTTGCTAGGAAGCACTTCAGAAGCCTTATCAATAGGTTGCAAGGTTGGCTTTTTCTTGAAAGTATCTAAATTTATAGTTCCCAAGGAAATCTTCCTATCTAATATAGCAATATGGGTTCAAGTAGTTATCTATTCGATCAATTTCGTATTTGGGTGTTAAATAATATTTACAATATATTACTCTTTAGTTTTTATTTCTTCAATTATGTATAGGAAATTAAATTAGCAATAATGTATAGGAACTCATCACCGAAGTGTCATGTTAATTACCAATAATGACTAATAAATAGACTCGTTGAACCTTGAACCATGGCCCTGCTAGCTGCTTGCTGGAAGAACAAGCAAATGTAAAAAATTGTATATTTTGTCTGTCCAAACAAGTAGGAAGAAATAGTCTACAGAGGATAGGTATTCTGTTAGGGCGAGTTTGTTTTATCAGGGGTGTGGTCTTCTTGATTTTTTAGTTACAAGATATAGAGTATATATGTAGGGCTTAGGAGATACGCACTTGTTAGTATATATGTGGATAAACCTCACTTGGACAAGGAAGATATAAATGAGATAGAATGACATTATAGAAAGGAGCTCGTAACACAAGATGTTTTTTTGTAGTATGCTACTAACTATTTTTTTCTTAGTATGTGTTTAATATATTCTTTATTATTTGTTAATGTTATTTGTGCTCTCTAGCATTAACTAGTGCTTGAATTGGTTTGGAATGTGTACAAAGTATTAGTTTGTTTTCATAAATATTTTTATTATAATGCAGAATGGTAGACAAAGTGTTTTCTTTGAACTTCATCACTGGAGGAACATTTCTGAAGACCAAATACTCTGGTGGATATCATAGGAAGATTAACGATGCAATAGATGTGGAGAGATTTTCTTATGCCGTCTTGATGGAATATGTGAAAGAAGACTGTTCTTTTGAAGAAATTGGAGGTGTTTATATTCCCAATGCCAACAAAGTAGGATGGAAGTTGGTCACAAATGACAATGATGTTATAAATTATGTGCTTGCACATGAAAACGATGATGTTATTGATTTTTGGATTGACAATGTAGCTGATGAGGAAATCCCTCCAATGGATCAGAATCAACCACATGTTATTGTAAGGCCAAGAAAGTGCATCTTAACAGGTACATATACAGAATTCCTCATTTTTAATTTTATACTTGTTATTATTAACATGATTTTAAGTTTAATTTGTCATATTTGAACACTGGTATGCCATTATTTGTTTATAGGATCAAGTAATCCACCAAAGAGAAATGTTTTCATGCTAAAGTCTGCTCAACAACAGCATCATGAAAAACCAAAAGAAAAAAAATGCATCACAGAAAAGAGCAAAGTGAAGGCAAATGACAAGTTGGGTGTCAAACATGTTGGTGAACACGTGAGTTCATTTATTTATATAATTACCAAAAAAACTAAACTTCAATTACTATTTTCCTATGTATTTCATCCTCATCCCTTTAAATGACCAGGATTCACATTTTGGTGAGGATGATATGAGTCCATTCAAGGCAAGATCATATGAACAGATCAGGTCGGAAAACATTGAAGCTAACAATGAACGCTTGACTACACTTGGGCTGAGTAAGTTATCTGTAGAATTGGATTCTTGTGGTCCAGAGAAGAAAAGGAAAAGAAAACTAGGGAGTCTAAAAGAAGGCCATCAGAAAACGAAGGTAGGAAATGTGAAACAATAATAGTTTTTATATTCTTTAGCTAAAATAATTATTTGTAATGCAGGCCATGGTGAAAAAGACCAAGGAAGCATCTCGCCCTAAAACACGCTCCAGATCCAATGTGCATCAACTGCTTGATGAAAATGAATGTGTAGTACCAACTTCTACACAGGTACTATTTGTAGTCAGCAAGGAAGTTATTATCTTTATGATAGGTTCTTAGAATTTATATTTTTCTGGCTTATTTTTCAAAAGATCATTATTGAACTAGTGAAGAAGTGCACTCGTAAAAAGCCCTTGAAAGATCACAATGAATTAAGAAATGGAGAGATAGGATCTATGTCTGCATATCTAGCTTTGAAGAAGAAAAGGCAAACGATTGAAGTCAGACATGAGGAAGATTCAATCGACATGCAGGATGCAGTGGTTCAACATGACAATGCTGAAATGGGACAAGAAGGACCTAAGAAAATTACTGAAGAAAATCAGCGAGGTAACTTATTTATTACAGTTATGTCACAGTGTATCTGTTTCAAGCATGCGTTGCTGTATTTTGATTTTAAGTATCCATGTGACAGAGAAAAAGTGTAGAGGACCGACAAGAATGTTTTCTGTCCATACAAGATATGAAGAAGAAAAGAAAGTGATTGACTTGAATGAGTTCAATCAACCGGTGGCAAATGATGATCAGACACTTTCAGAATTCAGCAATTTCTTGGGAACTTTAGCAAGACAGTGTGTGCCTCTTTGTTGTGTCAACTGGCATGCATATCCTCATAAAGAAGCCTTGTGGACATATGTCCAGGTAATACTTTGTTTTTTAAAAATAAAGCATTAAACCTTGTAGACATATGTGCGGGTTAAACACTGTGTATATTGCTTAAAATGTAATGTTTGCTTCAGGAAAAATACACAATATCTGATGAGGGGAAAGCTTGGGTATTGAAGACCATTAATGATACATGGAGATGTTACAAAGCTAGGATTAAAAAGAATTATTATAAAAAGTTCTCTACTAATGCCGAGAGATTGGAAAACAGGTCTCAGGAGATACCCAAGGATGAATTTGAGTTGGTTGTGCAATATTGGGGACGCAAAGAGGTCCAGGTATACACAATGTTTCCTTTTCACAAAGATTAGTAAAATAAATATAATGTGTATACTATGTTGCTAACTTCTATTATTAGGAAAAAGCTGAGAAAAACACTTCCAATCGAAAGAAAGTAAAGGATACACACACTGTTGGACCACGCAGTTTTGCCCAAGTTCGCGAAAAATTGGTGTGTTTATATCATATTAAATTCAGATTTATGTGACCAGTATCATTATGTAAGAAGTTCCCAAGGTAAAGAGATTTAACTTTTGACATTATTTTGTATTAGAAATCTAAAAAAGCGAACAAGGAGAAACTAAGTAAAGCAGAAGTGTTCATCGAAACACGTAAGAGAAAAGCTGGTCGTCGGTACGCTTCATTGAACGATGTGACAGAATACAAAATTGTGAGCAATTTATGAAGATGAATTAATTTGTATCTTAGTCATTTAATTATAGACTTTTTTTAATAGTGATAACTAACTCATGCATTAATGTGTAGTCCCAGCTTGAACAACTCATTTCATCCGAGCCGGAAAAAAATGAGATGGTTGAGCAACTTATCGGAGATATATCGCATGGACCAAATTATCTTATAGGCAGGCGTGGGAGATCAAAGAAACGGAAGGAATCACCTCCTAACATTTCAAAACTAAAAGAAGAAATGGCTGATGAGATGAATAAGAAAATTCAGCATTGCTTAGCTTTTGCTATAACTAAATTGGCAGCAGACAATCCAAATTTGAAAGTCAATGTTGAAGAGCTTTTTGCAGCAATGCCATTTGATGTTTCCAATGATGAGCTTCAAGATGATTCCAATTCTTCCGATTCTAACGAGGCTGAAACGTCTAAGGGAGATTAAAGATTGAAATATGATCAAGGTTAGTCTTTTGTAAGAAGTTTAATTAATTTGTCAATTTAATTGATATCGAATCAATAGAGTAATTTATTTTGGCGTGTTTGTTCTTTTTTTATTTTCAAAGGGATTAATAGAACAAAAATGTTAACATCGAATCAAGCACTCTGAATTCTTGATGACAGCAATGTTTATGAACAGAATTGTTGGTATAAAAAGTTTATTACTAAATGTCTAATACTTATGTCATTTCGACTTACTAGAGGCCTAACGAATTTCAGCTATTATGTTTGATATGGTGGTATTTAGTTCTAAGTTCAGTTGATCTGAACTACGAAGTATCACATTAGTTTAGTACTCTGTTCATAATAGATAGACATTGTGTTCATCTTTAACTTTTGTCATTAAAAAACTTTTTGTAAATTATTTAGAAACTGTGAATTTATATAAATAGTTATCATTGCATACTGAACAATTTTGTAGTGAATAATTTTACGAGTTATATGCCTAAATTCATTGAGTGTGTTAGTTCTAAAGTCTCAGCTTAAAGAACTTTTTATAGATGATGCTATGTAAAAGGAATTAATAAATTGCTTCTTTGATTTTCTTAAACGCTGAGACTGTCTTGGAAGCATAAACTTCCCTTAGAAGTGTGTTTGGATGGGGTATTTAAAAGGCTATAGCTAGTGAGTTATTTCTGTTCTAACATGTCTTTTTTATCCAACCATGCTTTGAGATTAATAGTTAACATATCTTTACTCAATTTTTTTGTTCAAAGTATAAACTTAATATCCTACATAAACACAATGCATGGTAGCAATTGGTTTGATCTTCGTCATTCAATTTCGTATAGTACATATAACTGATTTGGTGTTTGATATATTTGTTTTTTTTTCAGGTGCTCATGGTATTTGCTTTTTGTTCCTAAGTAGTTATGGAGGCTAATTCCCATTTTGGATGCAAGAACGTGAAGAAGTTTTTTGCTTTTAAACTTATGATGTTTTTGAAATTTTTGGGTTGTAATTGCTACGATAAGTATGAATGTATGAATGATACTTTAATCAATTAAATATATTAAATTTATAAGCACTACTAGCTTTTGCATATCATATTTTTTTGAGTTCTTGTTTGCTAAACTGGAAGTGTATGTCCTAAAATTGCACAATATGATCAATGAGGGATTGCAATTAAATTATTAATGACAATTGTAGTAATTGTATTAATAATGTTGCAATTCAAATGATTTTAAAAATGGTTTACGAGATATTCAAATATGCTTCAATATGTGTCAAAAACATGGTTTTAAAATCATAATAAAAGCATCACAATTTTAGTGCAAAATGTTGCTCTAAGTGTTGCAATATCAAAGTAGTGTATTTGCACTTAAATGTGTTGCCTTAGTTATTGTGAAGAATGATGTTGCCTTAGCTAAAATAGTTGCAACATATTTTTGTTTGTTGCTATAGGCATGTATGGCAACGGCCAAAATTTCAACACTTAAAATTGGAAAGTGTTGCCATAGATCCCTAAAGCAACACATTAGGGTGTAATGCAACATTTTTAAAGTGTTGCCTTAAGCCATTAATAGTGTAGTGATGAGTCACACCATTCTAGTACTGGAACAAGAGAAAAATAAAAAAGAAGTACTGTTCACGCGTGTACTGTTCACGCGAGAATTTTTTAATTAAAAATCGCTGTAAAACTGCGTCGTTTTGGATCAGGAGCACCGTGCTCACCGTGGGATGATCCCACGGTATAGGAACTGCCGATAACTTATGTGTTTGTCCATAAATATTCGAGTGACTTTTCTTAGTCATATAGATCATGTCAGGTAACTAACTAATAAATTTGTCTTCACTAAACTTAAATTTTTATTTACGAGTATGTTGCATCACTTTTTCCGATATGTTTTTTGTACCTAAAATTAGGCATCCAGTGACGAATTCTTTAACGCAGACACTTCTTAGTTATATTATTAGCATACATATAAAATTACAGGATCCAGAAACGTTAGTTTAAGAAATAAAAATCAACAAAAATTGCTCCAAAGATGAGTTGGCTTAACCACAACCCCAAAAAATTGACCTCAAAATCAGTCAAAAAATATAGCATTCACACTATCACACAAATGCAATACGGAATATTAAAAACTTGGGAAAATTCCCTAAATAGGAGTACGTAAACAGGTTTTGGAATTTCAAAATAGCACCGTTGTCTTATTTTCCAAAATATGAGTAACATGATACTACGTATTATTTATTCTTATCTTGTAGTCATTATAGGCAAATAGTTGCAATATTAGACATTAAACGTGACATTATTTACTGTCATTAATAATAGTACTTTTCATTTATGATCGTAACGACTCCTATTTTAGAAAGAAATATAACATCATATTTTGAAATTCCAAAAATGGTTAACTGTACTCCTATTTACGACAACTCCCTAAAAACTTTAGAGGAAAAATGTCAAACTTAGAGTATAGTACTATAGTAGACAGTCTCATCTAAAGTGTAATGAAGGTAAGATTGCAAACATGTAGTTTGAAATTAAACACTTTAATCGATGAAAAATAAGGAAAATAATTACTTTACATTACATGTACGTATTTAAAAAAAAGTAGTGTGCCTAATCAAACAATGTATGCATGTAAAATGATACGGAGTGTTACATATAAAATTATATTCCTACCTTTGCATATGCTTACGTAGTTACGTGTTAACGTGTACTTATTATTAGCAAGTAAAGTTTTAATCTCTGAAGTACAAACCAAACGGAATCTTGCTATAGGTACCTCATTTTGTACTTCAATTTGTACCTCAACCTATTTGTGTGACTCACAAAAGCCTACTTCAATAAATGAATTGCTCCACCTTAATGAGGTACTTTTGTGAGCCACAAAAATAGAGTGAGAGTATAAATTGGAGTACAAATTGAGATACCTTTAGCATTTTTGACTTTTTATTTCTTAATCTCTATTTTGGGAGCATACGTTTGGCCCATAACCCCTCAATCTATATCACTATATGGCAGGCTATGACGCTATGTGTTCCTAAAAAGGGGTCGTTAATGTAAAAGTGTGTTATAAGCCAATCAATACCATTTTCATCATAAATTCATACGTAATACTCCCTCCGTCCCTAATTTATCTTCCAAATAGGTTTGACACAATTTAAGATTGAGTATTATGTGGTAGAGAGTTGTGCAGAGGAGAGAGAAATGCGTAGTAATTGTTGTGAACCACAAATTCTTTGCTAAAAAAGGACAGTGGAAGTTTTAATTGGGACAGACGAAAAAGGAAAGTTGAAAGTTTATTTAGGGACGGAGGGAGTAGTAAAAACTCCGGATAATTACTACTACCTCCGTCCTGTTGGAAGGTTCCCATAGCAAAACGGCACGGTTATTTAGACGATAATTAAATAAAGTACTTTGTGTATGTTTTGAGAAATAATTTTAATATGTATATATTTCAATGTAGTTAGTATTGATAGATAAATGTGATGTTATAAATGTATTATTTTTAATATTTAATGATTAATTTGTCACTTAAGATTGTTAATTGTTTCCTAAAATGGAAATGAGAACCTTTATATGAGACGTCCAAAAAAGGAAAGTGGGAAACCAAATTTTACGATTTAGCAAAGAATGTAATCCCACACAGCCAATACAGCCAGAAATGTAATCCCAAAAAAGGAAACCTTTTATAGCAAAGTGGGAAACCTTTATATGAGACGTACAAGCAAAAATTCAGCACGCGCAAGCAAAAATTACTTGTTTGGTGAAAAAATTGGCTGATAAATCTGATAAGCTGAAAAACAGTGTTACCAAACGACCTCGTTGATTTGGAATCTTTGAAAGCTAATTATGGATCAGATTGCTTTTTCAAACATGTTCATTTCAACCTCATGATCATGATGTACGTTAACTATGAAGTTATGCTACTTTAATATTTTGTTTATATTTTTATTAATTTTATGAGTTAGAGTTACATAAGAGTAGAGTCCTCATAACTTCGATTTTCTTAGTTCACATTAAATAAAGTAAATATTATATACTCCCTCCGATTTTTTTAATCTTCATAGTTTGACTTCACACAAAATAAGGAAAGAAATTTGACTTTACTGTTGAGTACACTGTTGAGTTACTGTTTGGCACTGTTTGGCACTGCCGAGTCACTGTTTCGCACTGTTTTGGTGCAGATTTCTTTGCCAAAAAGGGAAATAAGGAAGTGTGAAGTTTATTTTAGAGCATCCCAAAAAGGAAAGTGTGAAGTTTAATAAAAACCGGAGGAAGTAATTGAAATTTGGATAGGAGAGAGAAATAACTAGTCACTTATTCCCTCCCTTATACGAAAATACTACGTACTGTAACAAAGTTTTGTGGCATTGAGCCATCTTATTATTATATAGTAAAACAAAAAAGTGTGGGGAAGTGTTGGGAGGGAATTTGGGCGGGAAGGTGTGGAAACGCCTAATTAAAATAATTGTTAATTGACTTTTAAATAATGCTGCCAAGGATTAATTAAAACGCCTATTTAAATGCTATCAAGGATTTTTGATTTTAAATGCTATCAAGGATTAATTATTTAAGGAGTACTAATTTGCCTTCTAAAAGACGGAAAGGTTCTCGATGCATCTGTAAGACTGCAATAATAAAAAGGCACGTTGGAATATTTGATGCTTTAATATGATGCTTGGGATTCTCTATACAGGATTGATGTTCCCAAAGAGTCAACTTACTACTTCAAATAAATTTAGATCAATAAGAATTGCCTAGATATCATTCCGAATGAAATGAATAAATACAATTGAAATTACTAAAGATAAATTAAATAGGTGGCAACACACTATCAAGAAATTAAAGTTTTCACGCCCAACTAAGTGACTATTAGTATTCTAATGAATAGGGGTGGGCAAAAATACCGAACCGGCATGGTACCGAACCGAACCGATATGGTACCGGACCGAAAAACGGGGTTTGAAACGGATCTCAATTTTTTTGTCCCGAACCGAACCGTACCGATTCTAAACAATGCCATGACCGGTTCTCATAAAATGAGAACCGGTACCGGACCGAACCGGACCGAAGTATGACTCAATGATTTAAATTTACATTTATACCCTTACTTTGACTATTGTCTTCACACTTTCGCCGTCTTTGCTAATTCATAGGAAGTCTGGAATCGGACCGATGTATAGATTAATTATTTATATTTGTACTGCTATAATTTATCTGAAATTTATTAATTATGTAAAATACTACATTCATCCCAAATTGATTTGCAAAATTAACTTTTCTTGACAGGGGAGGATCTATGTTAGGGCTATGGTGGGCTGAAGCCCAGGGCAAAGTAAAAATAATTGATTTTTTTAAGGTATTATTTTCACAAAATTCTATCCAGCCCAGCCCAAATTTTTCTATAGCCCAATCCAATTTTTCAGCCCAACCCATAAAACAAAATCATTTCATCTAAAAATCTAATCTAAATGTTATACGAATTACCTCCCACTTAACAAGAGGCACTTTTGTACATCGTATAAGGGCCGTAAAGCCCAAAAGGAATAAATGTAATAAATACAATAAGACATTCAAACAATTATTGGATATCTTGATAGCAATGAGACATGTTTCTACTACGCAACAAGGAATTCTTGGTCAAACAGTTTCATTTTATTCACTTAACTAGAATGTCACTTTTTAATTATATTTAATTTGGAGCTTGCAACCTTGAAGAGATTTCAATGTAGTTTCTGAATATGTTTATTTTAATTATTAAAAAATAAATCAATTATCAATAAAGAGAATTTAACTTTAACATGATTGACAAAAAAATTAATGACTTTGCATGTCAATTTGGGATAAAATGAGTATGAAAATTGATAAACTGTGTCAATTTATGAAGGATGAATAAACTTTAATTTCCTCTTAAGCACTTGAAAAAAGTGGCATTGTTTGGTATTGGTATGGCAT